TATGTTTGCTTGATGTAGGTTTGCCAGAAGACCTTCCATCACCAGCGGATGTTAAACAGACACGTTAAGTGTCACAACGAGACCAAGAGACACCTGTGCAGCTTCTGCGGCAAAGGCTTCAACGACACCTTTGACCTCAAGAGACACGTACGCACACATACAGGTAGCTACACACTTTCCTGTTTACACACACTCGCGTTAACACAAAGGTGCACAGGTGCAAGAAAGCATATGACATTTTCTTTTTCCGCATTCCCCTACAGGAGTCCGTCCTTACAAGTGCACCCTCTGCGACAAGGCCTTCACCCAGCGCTGCTCCCTGGAGTCCCACATGAAGAAGATCCACAGCGTCACCCAGAAGTACGCCTACAAGGAGCGGCGCAACAAGCTGTACGTCTGCGAGGAGTGCGGCCACACGGCGGGGACGCAGGACGAGCTGGTGATCCACCTTCACTCGCTTCACCCCAACAGTCACCTGTTGAAGGCGAAGGCTGCGAGGAGAGCAGGAGGAGGAGAGAGAGAGGGAGGGTCGGTCGGAGGATCGATGCCAGGCTCTCCCCGAGGAGCCGACAGTGATGACACCACCGGATCAGGGGAGCAGTAGACGGGAGGGAAGCCTGGAAGATCATCAAAAAGACAAACTCGGGGGGGGTTGGGTTGGATGAAGGATGGATGGATGTATTAACTGATGGACATAAAGGTGAAGTGATAGAAGATAGGTGGATGACAAGTCAGATTACATTGCAGTGGGGGAAAGTTAATGTATATGTGTGTGTATGTGTGTATGGATTTGGGTATTTGTATATTTAACGCAAGCTTTAACTTTACTGTAAATGAAATAATGCACCAAACAAGGCCAAGTCTGACTAATATATGTTTTTACATGGGATTGTGATATGGTTGAACTCATTAGTAACGTGTGTGTCAATACCAACCTACTTCTCTTCATTTGTATTGCATGTGAATATTACCTGTGGGTTTCTCTGTAGGGCAAAAAAGAAAGTTTTTCTATGAAAAAAGTACTTTTTGTTCAATAAAGGAGTAATATATTACACAAATATGAATGTGCCCTTTTGTCACAAGTGGTGCTTTCACTGTCAGCTACATTCTGGCTCAACGGTGTTTCAGGTTAAATGTTTAACTGGTTGTTAGGTGGTGTAGTTCAAGGCCACTGAAGTGCACTGAAAATGGTGTTTTAATGTGGCCAATTGGAGCTCATGACTCCAGAAATGGTGCCACCGTTTACAGCATTTTTAGAAAACTGTGGTTCTGCTGTTTCCCACAAATGTATCTAAAGGCTAAGATAATGCGATATAAAAGCCCAACCCTGATGAAAGGCTTTGTGGTATAAATGAGGAGCCACAAATCAGCCTTTCAGTGTCATCTAATCTGTAGTAAAATGCTTAATACGATTGTTCTCTCGCTGTGTGAAGTGAACTGAGGTCAAAGGCAGCGAACCCTGAGCCATTAATCCCTGCAGAAACTATCCGTACTCGGGTTTATGCAAATGCTTCCATTTTAGCACAGTTCTTAAATCTATATGCTGGTTAGCTTAGCTTAGCACAAAGACTGGAAATATAGGGGAAGCAGCAAGTCTGGCCTTTTTCAAAGATAACAAAATACACTGACCAGCACCTCTGAAGCTCACAAATCAACAAGTTTTAACATGTTTGATAAGAATTGGTACAAAAAAAAAACCAGTGTGAAGATGACAGTCTGCAGTTTCACAGCGGTTACGTGTCGGACTATTTCATTCTCATCGCCACCGTCTGGTTACCGGGCAACGAGCAGAGGCTCCAGGATGAGCCAAGAAATAGTCCTGCATTATTTCCACAAAATGCCTTACTATCGCGCTCTCAGGTTGAGGTTGAACTCGGAGGTGATTGGTAGAAATTGAATGGTGATTCACTGATGATGACCCTGAGGAAGAGTCTGGACATTTATTCATGCTTTGTTACGGACACTAAAAATCAAGTCAGAGCAAAATGTTGTCTTTTCTTTCACTGTATCATTGCACTAGCTACACCCTTATTAACAGAAGATAAAGTTTCTCTACTATTAAATAACCCTCAAGTACATCTATATGGATGATTATGTGGTGTATATTATCCTCCTGTCACTTAAAAATGGAATCCCTGCCCGTTCAGAACAAGCAGATCCTGCCCTCAGTTTGCACACATACCATCACATTAACAGGTGCACGCAATAGTAAATCCATTTCCACACCCGCATGTGACCAAAATAGATTTATTATATCAGTTAAAGTACATTCAGCATTTAGATTTAAGTCCAGTTTAGTTCTGTAATGGTGACACTATTAGACAACTGACAAAGCAAAGCAATTTAAGCTGGCACCGAGCCATTAGGCTGACTGGCTTTACATTCAGTTTAACTGCTCAAATTTGTGGTGGATTTAAAATATAATAGACACTTCATGTCATATATAATAAACAATAAGGGTAGTAAAGCATACAAGCAAACTAAATCATGAAATATTTATATTACAGCATCTGAGTGATGACAGAAAATGTTGCTAAAGGCACAAAAGGAATTCTTGGTATGACTGTGTTGATGTGTTTAGAGCTGTAAATCATTTTGTCACATCGGGAAAAACATTTCAGTACCGAACAGTTAGACGCACGTCATTCCCATCCTTTAATATATGACTGTTTTCTGTAAGCACAATAGTTGATATGCAAGTCTCAGTGGAGGTTTGATTCGTTTGTAATTTAAGCTGTTACATCCAGCCCCTCTTTTTAAAGTATTAAATGTGTCTTTATGGCCTTTAGCAACTTTGTTTCATTTAAATACAAAAGTGTAACTTAACTAAGGTTTAAAGAGCCTCTTCAGACTCGCTGTGACAGATGTCTGTTAAGCACTAATTATGCTACTTCTTCTCCCCGAGCGTCTGACTGTGTGTTTAGGAAAGAGAGAGGTTGTGGTTGGAAGGGTGAGGTTGGATTCTTGGTCTCTGTCGGGTCTTGTTGGAGGATTCCTGCAGACTCCCTTCAGCCTGAGGACACACGGAGGGAGATTCAGGTAACAAACGGATAACGGTCTTGAAAGTTAACTGACACTGAGTCATGTTGTTATTCACACTATTTAACTTGTCAATGAAATCCCATCTCAAACAAAGACACAAAGCAACAAACAAACAAAACAACACAGGCACAGAGGAAGACGTGAACTTAAATATATTGTAGCCTATATAACTTTTTTATTTTTGTTACAAAGTATTTCCAAGTTATTTGAGAGGTCTTAATAGTGTTCTTGTGTGTTAATACTTAAGAAACAAGGTTAAAAAAGATACACAGAATAGACAAGTGGTTCCCAACCTGGGGGTCAAGACCTCCACTAGAGGTCGCCAAAGCCTCATGGGGGTCCTTCTTGATTTTAAGGGTTGTAAGAAAACGTTAAAAAAATACACATCAGGCCTTTATCTCAGCATTTGGTTCACTTCTGATAAGAAAAGTTATAGAACAATGGCCAAGTGCCAGAGACAAGAAATCACTGAATTTGTCAAAAAAAAGAACCCTATTGAGTATGTATGATTGTTATTGAAAATGATATTAAAATAAAACATAATACAGACAAAGAATTGTATAAAGTTCCCTAAAGAGGAAATAATGTGCTCAGAATTCATCCCAATCTCTCGTTTTACACAAACTTCTTTCAGTTACTGAGAATAATGAAATATGTCACTTAGCCTTAACCTAAGGAAATATTACAATTCAGAAACATATCCATGTCTTTTATTGGTGTTAATATAATAAAACTACTAAAAAACTATTAAACCAGAACGCTTGAGAATGAGTAGATTCAAAGAATAAGTGAGAACTGGATTTAATTTTTGTTTTAGAGAAAAAATATACTAGAGCAAAATGTGTTTTAAATTCATACCCCAATACGAGGGTTATATATATATATGTCATATCTTCATTTGAAACTCTATTATTTTATTTGGAATGAGGAATTTATTTGAGTCTGACCAAACTTTCTCTGCTAAGATTTCTGGAAACTTTATTTTCAATAAAAGGGTCAATTTGGGAGAATTACTGCAATCTGAGGTCAGTATTTTTCTGATAGGAGCTTATAACAATGTCCTTTTGATAAGAAATAGTAGCTCAGGCGATTTATAACACTGCCATATTCCTCTATAGTCCTCATTGCCTCTATCATTAAGTACATCTAAAACAAAGATCACACCGTTATCAACACATTATTTTATGTATCTGGACTTTCTCCTTTTGACAACACATGTTTGTTGCTTCTTATTATGGATGGATGTGACGAAAAATTTGGTTTGAAGCAATCCTCTAAGCTTCAAGAGCTTGTTACCCGGTTAGATCCTTCTTTATTAAATTCAAATATGTTGATCTAGATCTAAATTGTGCCTTCTGTGACTCCCATACTGAAACTGTTATCCATCTGTTTTGGGAAATGTAAATATACCCGTAAACTGTGGCAAGATATTTGTAGATTTATTTTAGATCATATTTTCTGTGACTTTAAGCTCCTCTTGCAGAATGTGCTTTTTGCTTTTTTTTTAAAGAGTGACATATCAGTTGAAAAATAATTGTATTTAATTAATCTCATCATAAGTCTTGCAAAGTTTTACATCCACAAATGTACATTTTAAAGTGAAACCTCTTTTTTTTTGTGTTTTTATGAAAGAACTGGAGTTGTATTTCAAGTCAACATCTTCTGATAAGAAAAAAGAAAGCTATCAAAACTGTGAGACTGTGCTCCCACTTCCATATCTTTAATTCAATTTGACTTTTCTTTGCTCGTGAACCCCTGGCATGTTTTTATTTCTTTTCATTTCTATATTTATTTTCTGTATCATTTATTTGTTTTTCCATTATTATTATTATAATGTTTACCTTGTTGTTTGCTACTATGTACGTTTTGGAAATAAGTGATAAATAAAAATAAAAACAAGCTTTAAGAGTTTGTTTATGGAGGTTTGAACACTCGCCGCTAGATGTCGCTGTTTATATTTCCAAACCTCCGGTCAAGTGATTGTTGTCAACAAGGAAGTGCCTTTGAAAACAAGGCGCCAGCCGCCGCTGCAAACTCCCAAAGCTAAAAGGTGAGCCTTATTTTCAAACACAGACACAACTTAACACGCTTATTCTGACTTATATCTCTCTATATGTGTTGCTAGTTGCTTTTAAATGAGCTCGGTTGTCGGCAACTACGTTCAAATAGCTTATTAGGGCTTCAGCCACCGTTCTGCTGTCTCCTCTGCTGTCTCCGGTTGAAGCTCCATCAGTCCGCCGTGTGGTTTCATTTCTCTCCCGTCAGATCCTCCGAGGGATGCCAGCTTCGGAGGCGGTTCGGTTGGGTCGGAAACGCGCCCTGCCCTCCTGCCCGAACCCGCTGTTCCTCCAGTGGCTCACCGAGCTCCGGGACCAGGCGAAGGAGAAAGGACTGAAGATCCAGTACACCTACCAGAAGGTAAAAAGAGGCTGATCCGTGCACTGCAGGGTCTAAAGCTGCAACCATCGAGTAGGAACACAGAGATATAGAGATAGTATACAATACAGGGCTGTAAGATGTAGTTAAAACATCATATTAGTGTTATTATTTACTGATATTGGGAGTCTTGTTTATGTGGGAATGGTCGTTTTTCTTTAAAAGTGTGATGATGTGACATTGTTGGGAGAAGCAGGGTTTGTAGAGCAGGGCAGCTCCAGTACTTCTTTATAATGCTGTTTTGTCACATTTGACCTTTTTATCTAAACACTGCAGCTCTCACAATCTGCATATTACACCTGCCCAGATTGCAGTTTCGATAATATATTGATTAATTGTGCAGCCCTAATAGAAAAGAGATCAAAGAAAGCTGGACAACAATTCACTATAATGACTAAAGCATGTGGTGTTGTAACATTAAATACTTCTTCTCATTGTCATGAATTATTAAAACCACTTTATTTAACCTTATATTAACCCTTTTTCTACCATTCTGTGTTTTATATTCATGCTGTTTTTGTGTGTGTTCAATGAATGAAGCTCAAACTTGCCAACGGTTATTCATTTTGCATTTTGTTTCAGAATTCTGCTCTTAGTTCTTTAAATTAACCTAAATTGGCTAAACTACGGCACAAACTCACACATTTGTTCCTACGGTACAAAAATGGCTCATTGAAAACCATTCAAAACGCCATTTTTTTGATCCCATGTTTATCTTTAACATAAACTCATGCATTCCTTTATGTTAAGATTTCATTTTGGTCTACAAGCTTTCAATTTAAATTTTTTATATCAGTCCACCACATGGCATTACTTTTTCCCTTTCAAAGCATGCAGCAACATTTCACACTTTTTACTGTTTTCTGCCAGGGTGCCGGGCTACTGGAAGAAGTGTTTAACAGCAGTTTTTTGTGAAGGTGGCATTTTTCTGCCTTAGGAACAAATGAGTGTGAGTTTTTGATTTTAAATCTGACACTGCAGAAAAAATAATAATGCATTAAAATCACTGTTGCTGCCAATCATTGACCCATCTCATGTCCTAAAAATATTTATAAGGATATACTTCTTGACATAATTTTATGGGAATTATTTAAGTTTTTAAAAAACAGCGGAGTTCTGTAAACATATTGACCTTTTAAAGGGTTAAAATCCCCCAAATATAATAAATATTTGATATGTATATTTCAAGCTGAAGTAGTTGTAAAAGACTGACTCATTTAAAGTGGAAAAAAATATCGATTTATAAGATTTTTACAGCAGTTTTTGTGAAGGTGACATTCACAAGGAACAAATGTGTATGTTTTTTAAAGGAACTCCTAAGGGTTAATCTTTTAAATGTCTTTTTTTGCATGTCTTTAGTCACCATATGTCTTTTTCCAGGCCATCAGCTCTCTGAATAAATATCCATTACCGCTTCAAAACGCCAAAGAGGCGAAGATCCTCCAGAACTTTGGAGACGGCATCTGTAAGATACTGGATGAGAAACTGCAACGATACTACAGAGAGAACGGTGAGAAACAGAGGGATTTCATGGAGACAGAACATTAAAAGGACATTATTAAAGGATTCTGTAAAATATCAGATAAAGTTCAGACTATTTAAGATACAGACTGATGAGGGATCGATGGTGTAAAACATCTTTTTTATGTTTCCTATGATTTTAAATACAAGCTAGTCTTAAAGTATTACACCATCCTCTGTCTGTTTTCCTCTTCATCTCTTCTCCAGGTGCAGGCGCTCCTATTCACTCTCTCCCCCAAGGAGTGCCCCCTCCTGGCAGACAGGACAACAACAGCCTGGCTCCCTCCAGGAAGGTAAATAGGGAGTTTTGTATCATCGTATAAGGACACAATTCACACCAAATACACCAAATACACCAATCATAACATTTCCGAACAGAGAAATTCATGGAAACTTATAAATTCCTTGGAAGTAAATATCTATAAAAACCTAAGGGTGATAATATTGGTAAAATAATCTGTAGTTTTTCCCTTAGTACTACTACTACTATAACTACTACTATTAATCAAAGAGTAAATATGGTAAATAGGAAATTTGGCATCGTTCTGTGTTTATCGTGTATTACTCCACTGACCTCTAACTTTTGATTGTTTTTCTGTGTGATCCATTTCTCCTTGTAGAAGAATGCAGCAGGGGATCAAGGGAAAGACAAAGGGGGAGGAGGAGGAGGAGGAGGAGGAGGAGGAGGGAGGAAGAAGAAGAGGGAGTATGTGCCCCAGAAGAGGTCTGGGGGTCATGCTGTACTGCTCGTCCTTTACAGACAGTCACAGGTACACCTTTCTCCATCACACTGAGCTGAAATATTAGTGTTGTGTTGTGGCCTCAGTAATTGTCTCATCCTCTCTCTCTCTCTCTCTCTCTCTCTCTCTCTCTCTCCCCAGATCCCAGGCAGTAAAGGTTACATGTTTAAGATGGAACTACAAGCAGAAGCTCAGCAGCTCTGTGACAAGTCTTTCACCGTTGTAAGTGACGTTTTGTCAATCCCCGTTATTGATCTCGTATATCTTCTTGTGCAGTAGGTTTGCTTAAAAGTCACTTTGTCTGTCTGTCTGTCTGTCTGTCTGTCTGTCTGTCTGTCTGTCTGTAGCCAGATCTGGGCAGTAAGTACACGGCCTGGTCTTCAGTGAGCACTCTGATCCAGAGGAACCTGCTGATAAAGACCCACAACCCCGCGAGGTACACACAATGTCTGTCTGTTCACTGCTTCTTGTTCATTTTTGTTAACAGTCTAGCAGCATAGATACCCATGGTGCCCAGAGGATGAATCCTAATGACTTTGGTGATTCCCTGACCACCTTGAGGTTGTAATTTGTGGTGTTTCAAGTGAAATCTAACCACAGTTATTTGATGGATTGTCATGAAATGTGTTTGATTCACGTTCCCATCAGAATGAATTGCAGTAGCACAGGTGATGTCTTAACCCTTCTTCTTAGCACCAAAATCAGGTTAAAATATCCATTTGTACGATTTGTTCTATGATCAAATACCTGCAAAACTAATCACACTCCCAACAGCCTCAGCTGGACTTTGTGTTTAGTGCTAATTAGCGGAGACGAGGGCTACAGCTAACTCTGCACTCCACCTCCTCCATGATGATGAGGAGGATGATGATGAGGGTGGCCAGATATGGTTAGCCAATGATCTTCAAACCTAAGTGGAGGGCAGTTTTTGTTTTCCTAGGTGGTTTCTGCCTCAGCGATGTACCCGGATCAGATCTTCATCACTGAAGCTCCTCTTCACTCTCCTTCCTCGCTCAGGTACTCTCTGACAGAAGAGGGTCTGGCTTTGGCAGAGCGACTGGAGTCAGTAGAACGAGGGACTAAAGACGACCCGGAGGAGGTTAGGAGTGAAGGAGAGGAGGAAGAGGTTGGGGTTGTGGACCTTACTGGGAGTGATGATGGTGAAGAAGAGAAGGAAGAAGAGCGAGTACAGTGAGTGTACATTAAATAGTGAAGCCTTCATTTTCCTCTTTTTCTTGCTGGAACATAAGGAATCATCTTCTCTTCACAGCCCGGCAGAGAGGCCGAGGAGCGAGGCCAGTTCCCAGGCAACGAACAGGAAGGCGAACGGAGAACGTCTTCTGCCCGGAACCTATGAAATTATACTTTGCGTTGACTTCATTGAGACAACCGGGTAAGAGAACTGTGCGGATGTCTGCGTGAGTCAAATAACTATAACGTAGTAATCAGGTGACTCGTGTAATTGATGGCGCGCTGACCGGTCTGTGCAGCGGCAGCCACCACTGTAAGCAGGAGCTGGTCAAAGAGCTTCAGAGAAACGGAGTGAACTTCGACGTCAGGAAGCTAAACGTCGGAGACTTCCTCTGGGTGGCTCGAGAAAAGGTCACGCCTGTTCCAGGTAACGCACGCACGCACACACACACACACACACACACACACACACAAAGACAAAACTAAGGGTGAAATATCAGAGAAAAATGGACAACTTTACACTTTTAAGCAGGACTCGATGCACAGGAGGGCAATTTGAGAAGCTTCGCTGTACAGTGATACACTTTGTTTATTTGATAAAGTATGAAATATGGCTAGAACTGGTTTCTTTCTGTTGTACATGGCATTATCGAGCATGCTTATTCAGTATGTGAAACCTTTTTTTAATCTCTTCTAGCTCTCACCTTTGGACTGTGGTCAGAATTTTGGGTTTTCTTGAGCATCTCTAGTTATAGAGCTCAGTATCTGTGTCCAATGTTACTATACTTAATATAAAGTTGCATTTTTCAGTCTCAGCTTTTAAACGTGGAAGTATGTTTTACAAAACAATATCGATTGGCCAGTATGGACATGAAATAGGCCTTAAAATGCCTTAATAATGCTCTTTAAAAGATCTTAAATTTAACCCATTAACCCTGCAGAAACCATATTAGATAATAAATAAAATATATTAAAAAGTGAAACTCTCTGGTTTAAAAAGTAATAAAAATGCCTGCATGGACAAGTAGCATCAGACCGAGCTTTCAAAAAGCTTTTAAAAATCTGAGGGTGAGTTTGTTCCACAACAACAACATTAGGTTGTCAAATCATGTTGGGCTTTAAAAGTAAAACCTTAACTCTAACTCTAAACTGAACAGCACCGAGCCGATACATGTCAGTTTTAAAAGGCGTTACAGAAATGTGTCTAACCTATCTGGAGCATGAATGTCTGCATGTTGTCCAACTATCTACATGAAATAAAAACACACCACGCTCTCCGTCTCTCTGTTTCTCTCTCTCTCTCTCTCTCTCTCTCTAGGTCAGCTGCGTGCCCCTGAAGGCAAGGAGCTCGTCCTCGATTACATCATCGAGAGGAAGAGGATGGACGATCTGTGTGGCAGCATCATCGATGGACGCTGCAGGGAACAGAAGGTTGGTGTGTGGGGGCATGTTCTCCTTCGTTCGTTAATTTATAAACTATTTATTACACCAAATTATTAGTAATTTAGTCTTTAAAACGTGAAGAACAATGAGAAATCCCTGTCACGATAACCAGAGCCATACACACACGTTTTCCATCTTTATGTCTTTCTTATCTCCAGAAATTAATATTTATTTCTACCATATTGATTCTCAACAAAAGGTTTACTCAAATTTTATAATATTTCCGTTAAGTCTGTTTTTTCTTACTGGTTGTAACTATAATTGAACCTTTTCCTTTTCTTCTCTGTGTCAGTTTCGACTGAAGAGGTGTGGTCTCCGCAGGCCCGTCTATCTGGTAGAGGAGTGTGGGAAGGCGGCCTCCCACCTGAGTTTACCTGAAAGTACACTGCAGCAGGCCATAGTCAACACACAGGTGCACATACACACACTGATACACTCAGTCAGTTTATTAGCTCCAGACCAATGTTATTGAACAGTACCGGCTTATTACAGGTACATAAATGTGTTATCAATCATATTTTTTATGTGTAGTTAACCCTTATTTTAGCTTATGTTTGATATATTTTTGTTTTTATTTATAATTATTTATTATATTGACATTTCCACTGTTCACAATCGACTGTAATCTGTACTGTTATGGTCATTTTTTAATTTAGTAAAAACCCAACTTTGAATTATCTGAAGCAGAAATGTGATTTTGATTTTGTGTGTTTGCTCTATATATACTAAATGTGTGTGTGTTTGTGTGTGTTTGTGTGTCAGGTAGTGGATGGTTTCTTTGTGAAGAGGGTCCAGGACGTGAGGGAGTCGGCGGCCTACCTCACCGTCATGACGCGATACCTGACTAAACTTTACCAGGTGAAACTTTTACCACACACACACACTTTCCCCATTTCTCTCGCTCCTTCTCTTTTTAAAGGTCCAGTGTGTAACATTTAGGAGGCTCTATTGCTAGAAATGGAATATAATATTCATAGGTTTGTTTTCATTAGTGTGTAATCACCTGAATATAGGAACTGTTGTGTTTTCATTACGTTAGAATGAGCTGTTTGTATGTACAGAGGGAGTGGATCGGCTTATTGAACTGCCAGGTTTACCAGCTCTTGATAGGACCTTTTGCGATTTTACTAGTATGGCTCACTGTGTTTTTAATAGTTTTTTGGACAACAATCGAGCTGTAAGAGGAGTTTTTGGAAGACAGAGAACACGTGTCAATCAGCAAACTCATCTCGGTGACGATCTGATTCACTGTGCTGCTTTCTGAACCAGGACCACGGACTCGCCTCTTCCATAACTGTGGGATACGCTTTCCACTTAATTTGGTCCTTTTTTTTTTTTTTCAATCTTTATTTCAGAACTGCACGCTGATCTGTCGCTCCAGAGAGCTGGAGGGCGACGGAGGAGGGAGTGACGAGGAGGAGAGAGGAACCCCTTCCTGCTCTCTCATTTCTTTTCAAGAGTTCAACCACGGTGCAATTAAAAACAAGGTGCGTGTAGAGCGTGACGCAGAGAGCGACCTTAATCTCTGTCTTTTTTTTTCCTCCTATCAATGCGCTGTTACAGCTGTGTTTGTGGATCCTTGTTTCCCGTCTGTTCCCTTCTAGTGTCAGACGGTGAGGGAAGTGTTTGCCAGGCAGCTGATGCAGGTAAGCGGTTTGTCTGGAGACAAGGCCGCTGCTATCCTGGAGCTCTACAGCACTCCGCACAGGTAACCCGCATCATTATACGGACACACGTTTTACTCACTCACCAAGTATCCTTACCCCCTCCCACCTCCCTCTCTTTCCTGGTTGATGTTATAAGGAACAGTTTGGGTCTAATTTTTGGAAAAGAAACACTCACAGGAGCTGAGCAGTGAAGGGTGTGCACACACTCGCTCTCACTCAGATGAGACCAGACTGACCAGAAATGTTGCTGCGGTAAGAAAAGAACAATGTTAATGTAATTTGTCGATCTTTCTCTGTCTCCATCGCAGTCTTCTGGCGGCCTATGAACAGTGTGCGAGTGAAGCAGAGAAAGAGAAACTCCTCTCTTCCATCCGATACGGGAAGCTCAAAAGGTTCGTAGTGTTTAGTTTGATTTGTTTGTCCCAGCTGCTCGTGTTGTTAACAGGCCGAAAGAAAAGGTAAAATGTCGTACTTGAGTCGAAGTCACTGCAGATATAATAAAGTAGAAGTTAAGTTACTGTCTAAAGATACACAAAATAATGTTATGAACTGCCTTTTTATTACAAAAAAAGAACATTGAGGTAAGGTCAATGATTATGTTCTCCTGTATATTATGTAGGAGTTGGGCTTATAAAACCCTTTCTACCCCTAATGGGATGAACTGAGAGACAAAACATGCTAAATAAGATAAAACGAAGAGCTACTTAATGACAGTACCGGGACTAATTTCAGTTGGTTGATGCTTTATTTTCTGTGTTTTACAGGAACCTGGGTCCCGCTCTGAGCAGAACGGTGTATCAGCTGTACTGTACTCAAGGAGCACTGTCATAGATACACACAGTAACACGCTTTCACCCAGTCATATATTTTCTGTCTCATAGACGGATGCAAGCTCAAGCTAACTCACTTTATAATGTAAATCCATTCATTCATTCATTCATTCATTCATTCTTAGTTCCAGCTTTACTTGAATTAATTTGAGGATGGTAATTTACACGTTCCATGTAAATGTAAAGATACTGCTATATTTTGATTATGTAAAGTATTTCTCAAATGTATCCCGATGCTGCATCAATAAAGTTTATTGTTTTGTATTCGGTTGTTGTGTTAATGCAGATGTTAAGTGATTGAATGAGTGAATGTGTAACGGATTCTTTCTCAACCTCGAGCACTTTAATGTGTCATTAGGTTATGAATCTGAGCGCTGTGGGGGGGGGGGGGGATAGGGCTATCTGATGAATATGGGATTGGAACTGGGGGGCACACAGGTGATGGTGGGAGGGCTGATTAGTTTGCCCTCGTTAATGCAGGTGGGGTCAACTTTGTGTGCAGGCCAGAGAGAGGCTGCGGTAAACTCTAAATCCACTTCTTTCTTTTGGGGCAATTGCAAGAGTTTTGATAACTTAACAAAAGGTCTGGCTGTGAAATGCATTCTGGGAGAGAGGTTAAACTCAGTGACATGCTCACAGGAAAAAGCAACAAGGCTCTAGAAGCTTGAGGCTTTTAGAAAGAAGGTGGCTCAGGAACCTTCTTTAAGATGTCTAAGTGGAGTGTCTTTAAAAGGAGAGCAACTGGGCGGTGTGTTTGTATCTGGTGGCATTATAACTACTCAAAGTATTCTTGATGAGGTTCTGGACATATTTTACAGGTTCTTTACCAGTGTTGGAGTTATTATTTTAAAAAAAGTAATGCATTACTTTACTGAATTACTCCCTGTAGAAAGTAACTTGTCACCTTTCTTCTACATTACTCCACATCGCCTGAGATAAAATGCTGCGTAATATGAACTCCATTTAATGGGTCAAACACTCAAACTCACTCGCTCATTCACCAAACTATGGCTTTATAATTAACTAGTCCAGTTTTATTGAATGTGTTTATCACAGAAGCTGTGGTTATACTTTCCTGAGGAAGAGTCTCTCACACCATTTGTTAGGAAGGAACCTGTATCCTCTTCATTCAAAGCAATTCCCTTTAAACAGATAACTGAAGACCTTATGTAACTGCATTAATAAATATAATGATACGCAGGCTCCAGTCGTATCTATTGAGTGCCATGAGTTTCCTCAGGTGGTAAATGTAAAAATTAGTAAGTTAAACCCCAAAAATAAAATGACCTAAGAACAGTGGGAGGTATAGAAGAGTGGAGCAGCCACGATTAGTTGAGTGAAAGTAAATTAAAGGGCAACAATTGGGTCAATAATGGATCATTTTTCAAGCAGCAATGCCAAATATTTGCTGGTTTCACCTTCTCAAATGTAAGGCTGCTGCTTTTTGTCCTATATGATCCAATATATTTGGGATTTGGACTCCTGATCAGACATTTTGGGCTCTGGGAAAGTGTAATGGTCATTTCCCACTATTTTGTGATGGTATTTAATTAAATGATAAGGACTGCTGAAGCAGCTCCCTACAACGTCCACTAGATGTTGCTAAAGAGCCACAGTTTTCACCGACTGCACCGGTCTGAAAACAGTAAATGTGCACACGCTCACTCACTTCTGGGGCTTATACTTCATGTATGTGGCTGAAGCTCGAGGCTAAAAAGAAATGAATGAATGAGTGGAATGAGTGGAATGAGTGAAAGCTTTATCCCCGCTGGATCTGTTGGAGCATTCTGCACTTTTGCAAGTTTTAAACTCGTATTCTCAAAATCATTATATAATACATTTAGCTTCTGTTTGGTTTAAATCCCTCTTAGGCAACCACTGAAACTTGTATGATTTTCCCTCTAGGTTACAGTATTGATACAACCAGGCCGTACAGGCTTTTCAGGTAAATCTGCACTTCAAATGTGTCACCACGCAAACTTGAGTGTTTATTGTGAGAGAAAATCTAAAACTTGCGTAGCTAATTATATAACTTGAGCCGGATGTTTTTTAGCGAGCTGTAAGACACCAATGAATCATTCAGATTAATTTCTTCGCCTACACTCACATTGCAGAAGCTGACATGTGGCTCACACCCTGTGCTGGAAATTCCCAGCAGCACCAATCACTGCAAGTATTTATACTTATCCCGATGGACAACTGGCCAAACACAGATGATGTAACATGGCAGTATTTCTTGTGCAGTGACCCCAGAGCTGAATCAGAGCGAGTTGAACTGAAACAACTTCCGATTTTAGTGTTGGCTCCATTGAATCAATTCAACTATATTAATTACGGAAGCCGAGAACGGCCATGGATATTTTTTTTTATGCACTGTTTTCTCGTGATAACGACTTATTATGTCGTTATCTCGATATAACAAAGATTGTTTTCTCGTGATAACGAATTCATTATTTAATTATCACGATATAACAGTAAGACTTTTGTTTTCGCAGCCAGATAAACAGGAGTTTGTCAGCCTCTCATCTGCTAACCGGTAACCCCTAAACAAACCCAGTCAAGTAAACAAACTAACGTAAAGTGTAACTTACTTACTACAGCCAGTGGCTACGGAAGCCAAAAGTGGCAGCTCTTGTAGGTTGAAATCAAGACAAACACATTATTAATTAATTCGTTATCGCGAGAAAACAATCTTTGTTATATCGAGATAACGAGATAAGTCATTATTACGATAACAGTGCATAAAAAAAAAAGAAAAATCCATGGCCGCTCTCGGCTTCCGTAATTAACCAATCATAGAAGAGAAAAAGATGTTGTAGCCACTGCTATCGCACATGAACCCAGACAATGAATAAAATCCCATTATTTGAAACGACTCATGTTAAACACTGTAACATAATGACATCATGCAGTTTAACTGTGTTTTTTTTTGTCTTAGTTTAATTCTAAAATAAATATATGGACAAAACAGTGACAATGTGTGATTACTGGGGGAATGCACCAGCTATCACCAGCAGACACTCCGGTTGTTCTACCTGCAGCATTAAAGGAGAGTAGTGAGTAAATCAGACCAATTTAATGGGGAAAAAAAGACAGTATGTAAAAAATAAATGTACACACAGCATGCCGGACGCTCCAGCAGTCAGGTTCTCCCAACAAAATAAAATAAGATCATTATTTTTGCTTTTTCTGAGTAACTTGATAGATTGAGGAAAATGTGGCAACATGCGCACACACACATGCGCGCACACACACACACACACAGGGAATCTCAGGAGTTACACTCTCTACTCAATCAGATGTGGGATTAAAAAAAAAAAAAAAAAAAAAAGGAGTTTGCGATTGTTCATTGTTTCCACTAGTTAAAGCCAATGTGTGTAGTTTTCTACTTGATTATGTGCTTGGAGTCCTGTATATGAGAGAGAGAGAGAGAGAGAGAGAGAGAGAGAGAGAGAGAGAGAGAGAGAAGAATGAGACTGTAGATGGCAAACAGTCAGCTGAGGATCTCATTCACTGCGACTCGTTCGACGCGGTCTTGATTTGATTGTGATTATTTTGCAGGTTACATTCCAATAGAAGTGGTTGATTTGATTAAAAAAAAAAAAAAAAAATTCTTTTTCTTCCAGCTCTTCCTCGAACCTTCAACCCTGCCATCTCCAGTCTGGTCCCTAACTTGACAACATCTGTTATTTACAAAAAACAAGAATAAAAAAAAAAAAAAAAACCAACCTGACAGGACTCATCTTGGAACAGAGTAACAAAAGTGCCGTTTCCATTGTTCTCTTTTTTTTTTTTTTTTTTTAAAGGAAAGACTAATTTTATATCAGGCCTGTCTTAAAAACAACATCCGCATGGGGAGTGTAGATTGGACGAGTGGCTGCGATCGGAGAGAGATCCGTTCCTGGTTCGACTCTGATGTAAGAGGGGGGGGTTGACAAAATCCGCTCTTCGTGCCTCGGGCCTAAAATTCATACTAAAGGTTCAGTTGAAGCCAATAAGAGGCTTCAGAGTTTGACTAATAAAGTGTCAGCGGTGGTCGTCTTTAGTGTGACATTCCTTCTCTGCGTTAGCGTCTCTTGTGCAGCGTCGCATTAAAACAGGGCATTTTGTACTAACTTTGACAATCTTTGGAAGGTACAGACTTCTGAAGCCGCGAGCCGGCCGCGCCCCCCAAAGTCTCTTAAATTGTTATGGAGTTAGGAAGAGATCTCTCCACAGCCGGTACGGACATGAGGAATAATCACAGCTACCAGTAATGCTTTCAGTATACATGTGGGCATGGAAGCGTTGCACTAAGACAGACCTGGAACAAAGAGTTAACCCTTCCTTTAACTGCAACCCCACCCCTCCCACCTTGTTTTCTCCACCTGCATGGTCAAAAAGTGAGAACAGGATCGATAAAGGGTTACACTGATCCCAAAGCTAGAAAGTCTCTTCAAATGGTCCCCATCACAAAGCCAAGGCAAGCATCGTCCTCGAGTCCGAACCTACAGCTAAAGATCTACTGCCGGTACAGAGTCAAACACTGGAGTCCACGCAGATCCAGCTCGTCAGTTATGTCTCATCGGAGACGCTTCTGTGGTCAGTTCTCTCCCCCCCCCCCCCGAAATATCCTTTTTCAGAATGGATACAATTAGGATTAAGCAGGTGAAAAACAAAGCAGTCCTTTCTTTTGGTTCCACCTTTCAATCCTCGACAGAGTCAGGCAGTCTTTACCTTCAGACGGCCGGTGTTGTGAGGATTCTGGATCCGTTAGTAATCCGTGGCCGTATCTGGCTCTAATGTGTCACTCTGGCCCGCCATGCTGATGCAGAGTTTTAGGTGAGGGGGACCAGATCCTTCAGGACAGCAGATTTTAAAAACCAAACACAGTGTCCTCTGCTGTTTGGGCTCGGTGAGTTGAACACATCCATACAGCAGCCCCCGTCCCTCCAGCTCTGACGCTGCGCTTTAGTCCGGCATGTCGATGCAGAGTTTAGGCGGCGGGACGAAGTATTTCCCGGGGCTCTGCGTGATCACCACGCCGGTCTTCTTGTGGAACATGGGGGCGATCTTCGGCGGCGGCTCGGGGACGGGCAGATCCTCGGCCGCCTCGGGGTCCTCGCTGCGCTGGAGGTCGTAGGACACGTTGCCGTACTCTCGCAGGAAGGGGAGGAGCTCCAACAGGAAGTGGCAGAAGTCCTTGCGGATGCCAAACCACCCTAAAGGAAGATCGGGACAGAGCGGAGCTTAACAATCCGGCACAATTAGAGCTGCAACGATTCGTCAATTAATGGATGGGATGGTTTTCTTTGTCATGCATGCAAACAGATTATCTTTTAGGTTTTATACTGTTGGTCGGACACAAAACAAAGAAACATTTGGAGACAATCAAGTTATCGTAAGAATTATTTTTATCTATTTTTATCTCAAATGTGAAGATTTGCTGGTTTTGTCACCTTTTTTTATGATAAACTGAATATCTGTATATTCGAGCTGCATCTAATAATAATTTAATACAGTTTCTCAATTAACTGATTATTTAATCCTTAAAATGACAGTAGGGACAATGACAATGGTTAAAAATACTGATCACTGTTTCCCAAGGAGACATCCTAAAATGTCTTGCTTTGTCCACAACCCAAAGACATTCAGTGTACTGTCTCAGAGGACTAAAGACACCAGGAAATATTCACATTTGAGAATCTGAAATCAGAGAATTTTGACAGATTTTTCTATAAAATGACTAAAAACAATTACTAAAATTGTTGGCATTTAATTGAATATTTAACTAATTGATCAATCGTTGCAGTTTTATAGGAGACACAGTATATTCTGAGTTGTTCATCAACAGCAGCTTCAGCTGTCGATGAGAACTGATTGACAAATTAGGTCATAAATACTGTAGACGGCAAGATTTTACAAAAAGCTATGTCAAGGAGAAAACCTATGAAAAGCCTATTATCACTGCTGTGAGAGGAGGAACTCTAGTGTTTAACAGAATAGAAGTCCCAGTGGAAAACACTGAGCAGCCAGCAGCACATTACTGGCTTTAAATACTCACAGTGGTTCCCTCCCTTCTGACCAAACGTGGTGGCCATGAGCGTGAGCAGGGAGAGCCAGAGGGGGACGAACACACACACGTAGCTCAGACTGTTGTGGCCGTCCAGCTTGTGCACCAGAAGGATCTGAAGAGACACATTTTATAGGTAAAAGAGAGGAAACGGTGCACGCTTTATATTTAACACACACACATATATACAGGAGGATGGTAAACATTATATTTTAAAAGTCAAATAAGATATAGTTAACACTCTTGAACAGTATTTATGGTAAATAGTTCATTTTTCACCCCTAAATAAAACCTTTTTAGTCCGATATCCAGTATTCATAACTTCCAGGATGTCCTGTATACATGCAAAATGTACATTGAAAATGGCTGTTCACATTAAATACCAGTAATAAAGTTGCTTTAGATTCAAATGTTCTATTTAATTTGGTGAGACGGACGTCGGCTAACATAAGCCCAAAAAACACCTCACCTCGAAGGTGAGGAGGGGCACGACGATGGTCATCCAGCTGATCGCCATGGTGATGTGAGTTCGCCGTTGCTCCGCGATGATGTCGATGGAGCGGAGGAAGAGGACGGACCAGATGATGTAGTAGAGGACGACAAGGCACAGGAAGGACATCAGGATCCACAGCGGGACGCACACCACCTGAACACCACGCAAACGGGGATCACCACGACACACCGTCACGTTATTCAACACATAGACTGGCTACGAGCAAAACAATACAATCATATATATTGTACTTTTTACTCCATTATTTATTTATCTATTAGCTATAGTGACTTTTTTATATAAGTTTGTGTTCATGTCAATAAATCAGTATTAATATTCCAATAATTTATAAAATGATAAAATCTAAATGGGCCATTTGCAGGATGACTTTATTTGTTTTGATTCAATTAAGTACATTTTGCTGCCAGTACTTATGTAAGATTTTAGATTACAGATACATATAAGATTTAATGAAATAAAAGAGGTCAGTAGTTCTTCTACCGACTGTTTATAGACGACACAGTGCCAACACACACAGACACACACCTCCCACTGACTTTATTCCTGCAGTGCATTATCGGCTCCTCCCATTATAGTTATGGATTCGGCTGCAATAACAATCACTATTATGAATACTATGACAACTCACATTTAACAATATGTGGCACACGGACAATATAACGTTACTTTGATGACTTAAAACAACAAAGCTAGTTTGGTAATCCCACAACTTTAGGCTGACATACAAACAAACGTTAATGCTCAAAGTTGGTGTGTTCAATTACACACTTGTATATGTGTACCTGCTGCAGAATGAGTACAGGTTGACAATATTATCACCAGTGGTCTTTACTTTTAACATCCAATACTTTGAGAGCATAATGAACATACAGAATATGTGTGTGGGATTTAAACGTGTGTGGACAAAAACAAACTAATGTTTTCTCACCAGCCAAGGCCAGTTGATGATCTTGTCCAGCCTCAGAGCGATGAAGATGAACTGGAGAATGTTAACTGAACACAACACCTCCAGCTGAGGAGAGGAAGAAGGAAGGAAGTTATCATTCGTAACATCTCTCCCAAAAACTTGACACGCAACCTCAGATCAGACGTCTTATCTTCTGCATACGGGCGAGGACACCGAACTCTAACTGCTTACTTTATCTAAAGTTGTCCTGCACGGGGAACAGAAGGATTAAAGTGTTTATTGTGACTAGTGCACCATACAACGACGAACGGAAACACAAAAAACAGACAAACTATTCCAAGTGTCCATACTAAGAGGAAAAATAAATAAATAAATAACATTTTGGAAATTATGAGAATAAAGCCGTAATAATACGAGAATAAAATCGCAATAATACGAGAATAAAGTCATAATAACACCAGAATAAAGTCGCAATAATACGAGAATAAAGTCATAATAACACCAGAATAAAGTCGTAATAATACGAGAATAAAGTCATAATATTACCAGAATAAAGTCGTAATAATACGAGAATAAAATCGCAATTAAAGAAAAAGTTTTAAGGAGAAAAAAGCTTCGATAGAGTAATCAAGATATGACTTCATTTTTCTCGCAATATTATGACTTTTTTCTCATAATATGACTTTTTTCTCATAATATGACCTTTTTCTCGTAATGTTACGACTTTATTCTCGTAATGTTACGACTTTATTCTCGTAATGTTACTACTTTATTCTCATAGACCTAATATTGTGACTTTATTCTCGTAATATTATGACTTTATTCTCAAATACCTAATAATATGACTCTATTGTCGTAATTTCCCCCCCAAAAAATAAAAAAAGTTTCTCTTAGTGGCCCTAACACTCCGTCATAGGTTTCGCACCGGTTTCCTCCGGTGTCAGTTTATCCTCACACGTGTCCGGTTCCTTACCTCGAGGGAGCGGTCGTGTCTAAACCCCCAGACGCAAGCTGCCACAGAAACGGGCGACACGAAGAAGAGGGGCATGAAGACGAGAAGCCAGAAGTAGTTCCCTCTCTCCACGCGGTCGCACACCAACACCTCGAACATCAGCAACAGGACGTGGAGTCCCACGGCGATCAGCATGGCTTTGAACTCCACACACGTCTCCCCTTCGGCCCTAAGAGAGGATGAAAATAAATGATACAAGAAGGCTGAATTATAACCTGACTGCGGACCAGTAAGCCACAAATGCCCACACGTTAAATAAACCTACCTGTACTGGGGGTTGTGTGCCCAGACTCCGGTGCCCACGGAGGCCCCGATGATGACCAACAGCTTCCACAGCCATATTGGGGTGAACACAGCCCAGTAGTTCCACTGGATGACCCCATCCAGCCTCAAGGACAGCAGCACGGAGAAGAGCAGCAGACAGGAGTAGATCAGGAACTTACTGCAACAGGGGGACAGGGAGAGAAACGTTGGACAGTCAATGTGACCATAAGTAACCTTAGTATTTGGAGCAAATAGGGTCAAATCAATCTTTTTTTTTTTTTTTATCTTAAAAACAGATGGGATGTGTGGAAGATATAGAAGCATATAAAAAGGTGGAATAACAGTTATAAAACATAATAATCCTTAAAAAGTTTAGGATGATGGAGACACCTCTAGACCTTATAAAGGACGGAGATATAATACAATGTGAGGGTCAAAACAGCAAAATAGTCCCAACTAACCTGCATTAAAACCAGGACTGTCACTACATTACACTCTTCTAACCACCTAATGATGTAAAAACCTCACTGAACGACTTATTACACTCAAAATCCACAATTTATGTATGATTTTGTCAATTATTCTAACAACTTCTGGCTCATTTGTGTAGTTCCCATTACCTTATTATATTATTATTATTATTCTAGAAGAGAGACGTTATGTGCTACAGTTAAAAACACATATCTGGGCTATAATAACACATAATATGAGTGAGGAATTGACTAAAAATCGCACTTTACGTTTGTTTCTAAAAAAGCGACGTACAAAAAAAAAAAATCTCTTAGCTGTCTTGTTAGCCAGGCCTCGTTTAGCCAAAATACTTTCTTTTCTCTTAAACTATAACACTCACGGCTCACGGTTACCTCTTAAGTATCTATTCAACCACCAGAAATATGTGTAAACACTATCCACACGTCTAAAAACAACAACATTTAGTGAATGCTTTCGCCCGCCGAGCAACGACAAACCAGCGTTCAGTTAGCTTCCGTGCTAGCTCGTCTCATTAGCTCGACGTTACCTGGGATTGAAGTCCTGAAAGAGTCCTCTTAAATTCATGGTGTAAAAAAAACACTTTAGTTTGGTTTCCCCGTGTCTGGAACTAATTCACCGCCGAATCTGAACGCCACACATTGTGAATTCCGCTGGTAGATGAGCTCTTTGGGTCGGTTTCATGACGGCTCTTTGCTAGCCCGTGTGTTTTGGGTTTTGTTTTTTTTTTTTCCTCCGCCTCCTCTTCGGAGATCACGTGACCAGCCCGAAGATAGCCGAGTTGTTTCCGGCAATCGCCTGACGTCAGCCAAGAGATTTAAAAAAAAAAAAAAAGAAAAATACAATTAAATGTAAATGTTTTTATGTTTTTATATATGTGATAATAACCTTATGTTCGGCTCTTTTATCACAAACTTTTGCATGTGTTATAATATTTTTGTGCACACCATATTCCCCCTTATTGCATATAGTGTATATTCATTATGGTTTTTATATTTTCTATTAGATTAGATATTAGATGTTCCTTTATTTGTCCCACAATGGGGAAAGTTCAATGTTTCAGCAGCAAAGTGGATAGAGAAAAGAACAGTATAAAAAAAACAGTAGGAGTAGGGAAATAATAAAAAACACTATGTACAAGAGAAAAAACTGTAAGAATCCACAAACAACAGATAACACTATAAATAGTAGCAGCAGCAGTTGCACATGGGCAATAGATTGCAAAGTAATTATTGCACATGAATTATTGCACATTTTATATACATATATTATTTTACATATTATATCTTTATTATTATTTTATTGTATTTTTACTCTTCTCATCTATTTGCACTACATTTCCCCGGTGCTGCTGTGTCGAACCTGAATTTATCCCACGGGGAGATTAATAAAGGAAACATCTTATCTTATCTTAACAACAACCAAAAATCACAGCCCACCACCCCACACTCTTTAGCAATCATTAACAATGAAACAATGGAAACCAAAGTAATAAAAAAATGATCCAATTCAAATTTTAGTGAAATAAATGTCAGCACAGTAGCAGCAGCAAACTCTTTATTTTTCCCTACATAAATGATATAATAATAATAATAATAATAATAATAATAATAATTGACTCTTAATCAGCTGCTATAACATTATAATTTCCCTTCGGGGATAAATAAAGTATTTCTATCTATCTCTCTATCTATATTCATCCGACTTTGTTCCACTCCATTTCTCCCTGGTCATCCACATCCCACCCACAGTGGCTCTACGCCCCACAGTTTGAGAACTGCATTAGGCATTCCTGTGCATTCCTGTGTCTCTGTCTATACAGCCCCTTTGAGGCCTGCTGAGCTTCATTATGGTGATTAAATTTGCATTTCTCATTATTGGAGGACAAACCAAATGTGCCAAGAAACTCTAAGTCACTATGTTAATCATTATGCACACAACCATCACTGAACAAAAAGTATCCTTATGTAAACATTTTATGAATAAATATAGTTTAATCCTGTGTATCTCACTTAATCTCCAATTATAAGCACAACTAACAAAAGGTTGTGGTACAAATAAAGACAAATATTTGCTTTATCAGGTTTTATGTTGTGCATGTTAAACCTTTTTAAAGTGTGTTTTCTTAAGCTTTGAAAACCACACCCGTTAAATAAACCCCATTCAAATGAATGAAATAAAGAAAACAAACATTGTTGTATCTCGTAAGATCAGCAGGGCGGAGAGGGAAAGGTGTTACTTTTGGCAAAGACACAGGTGAGAGAACAGTCGGCTTTTGTCTCTGCTTGTCTCTTTGACGTCAGTTCGGTGTGTCACAATACCAGATGTTTGGCTGCCTGAGAAATTCTACAGTTCTCAATACCCTCATTAATTCACCAATTAACTCACAGCTCAACCTTTGGTTTCCCAGAGAAATAAATTTAAATTTAAATTGCACATAGTTTAATAAAAGCAATTTTATTTATAAAAGCTGTTTTATTTCTACTATTACTTGTTGTATAGTTTTCTATTTTAACGTATGTTTAATGTATGTTTGTAGGCTGCTACTGGATGCTTGAATTTCCCTCGGGATGAATAAAGTATCTATCTATCTATCTATCTATCTATCTATCTATCTATCTATCTATCTATCTATCTATCTATCTATCTATCTATCTATCTTGTGCAACCTCAATGAAATCTGTTTGCAGGGGTGATCGCTCAGGCAGAATAAATTGGAGACAGCTGAAAGGAATCCCCATACTGTTGTCTCATGGTAAAGCTTTATTCAATGAATTACTTCATTTCTATTTCCCCACTTTGAGTGCAGTAAAAAATGAAAATGTAAAATCAGAAACCTTAACTGGTTATATGTAGTGCAGGAAACAGGCTCACAGGCCCAAACATGTTTTATAAAGTTTGCAGAGTCGCTTCCTCGTCTGAAGTCTAACAGATCTCACTGACAGAAAGAGAGCAGACGGAGTATCTTAGAATAGAATAAGCTTTATTGTCCCTGAGGGGAAGTTTGTCTTGGGCACAATGCTACAGTTTGTTGCTTCACAGAAACAAACATACCTCAACAACAGGCACACATAAAAAAAACCACTTACAAAATCAACATAAAAACATCTCAAAACATGGAAGACATTTTAACAATGTGGCAGCTTAAAAAGAGACTGTCAGAGACTTGAAGAATTAAAGTGCTACGGTGCTGCTTTGTTTATTGCACATTGCCCTATTGAACTATGATTTAGTTTTGTTGTTCAGCAGCTTGATAGAAGTCGGGACGATCGATAACTTCAGTCTGATTGATTTGCACTTTGGCACATGCAGTCTTCTCCCTGATGGCAGAGGTTCGTATTCAGAGAACTGTCATTTGACATTGAATTGCTTATGTTTGCTCTTTGTCATGTTATCGTTTGCTCTTTTTGACCTGTGGGTTTTCAAATAAAATGATCCATTCAATTTTTAACAAATCAAAAGATGGATGAAAAGTTTCCTTTTTTCCTCAGGTTTTTCTCCAATTATGTCATGATGATCACAAGATGTGAGGTTATAATTTAGACAAAGTCATTATTAGGGCCTGATATATCTGCCACAGAGGTCCACTGATTTAAAAAACTGCACTAAAACTACTATAACTAACACATTAATTAGCAGTAATCAGTCATTTCTTCCTCTAGATTAGTTACAAAATACCACTATTGTTTTGTTTTGGTGAGACAAAGAGGATAAACCAACAGAACAAGAGAGGCTTTGCCTGTGCAGGTCCAAGGGAACAGGTCCACACTGAGCATAGGACCAGTGGAATCAGCAGCATAATGTTAAAGATGCAGACGTGTGCAATACAAACGTCTCACATTAAACCTCCAAACAGTCGATTTTATTCTCTCTGGAAGAAGTTGCCCTTTAAGGGGATTAATTCTCTTTCTCCTGTAATTTCACTGCAAAAAAATGTCTAAAAAAAATCACAACATGTGGTGAAATCAGAAATTAAAAAAAAAAAGCCCACAAAATCCTGGAATGGCTGATATTTCCAGTATTTCAGAGATCCAGATGTTTTAATACAAATGCTAACAGTAGATGATAACTGAACTGAATGCAGTAATTAACAACATTAAAGTTATTTGAGTCAACAATTAATATAATTTCACTTACATTCATTGCCATTGAAGACACGTTTTGCTCTTCTTTCATATCGGCCAATACAACTATATTATTTTTGGAAATCGGCCAATACAACTATTTTATTTTCAGAGAAACACAGCCTCTATTTCTGTAATGTGAAAACCTCTTGAGCAAGTACTACTTCATTCCTTATTATGACTCATACCTCTGTGAAGTTACACTGAGCTAACGCCAACTTATTTTTTATAACGTAATATAAACTGAAATGATTTGTTGTTGAGATTTAGAAATAGGCTATTGTACAACAACATCTCTTTAAAGTTCTTCTGGACTGAACTTACAGCCAGGATGGTTCAGCTTCTGCTGAGTTTATTTTCGAGAAATATAATTCTCTGCCTCACTTATGTTGTTATAATATATGACGGAGTATTAGGGCCATACTAAGATAATTTTTTTTTTTTTGGGGGGGGGATTACGAGAATGAAGTCATAACATTACAAGAATAAAGTAGTCATTTTTTGAGAACTCTTACAAGAAAGAGCAATCTCCCCCCGCCCGGGTTAAAACTAGGAATTTTGAGCATCTTGTGAAGTTATACTTTGGTATCGGTTTCACACATAAGGAAATACTACAAATTATTATCAGTATTAGGAATTTGAAACGATTGTGCAAACGACTGTGTCTATTTTGAAGAAAGAACCACACGGACTTGGAAGAAACTGCTTCTTTTGAACATTATTCGTTATTATTACGACTTTATTCTGGTAATATTACGACTTTATTCTGGTAATATTACGACTTTATTCCCCCCCCCCAAAGAAATTCTCTTGGTATGGCCCTAATACTCCGTCGTATATTATAACAACATAAGTGAGGCAGAGAATTATATTTCTTGATTGCACTTTTTAAGGTTCACAATCTCCACCTCCAACATTGCCAGAAGAAAGTTCTGCACAAAATATGAAAGTATAAGTTATCAGAACTTAGAGAACCACAAGGACATCCATAAATATACACTATATACATAAATGTGCCAGAATATATACAATTAGATATAGAAAAAAGCAGAGAGCTCTCGGATATATAATATTACAAATAATGTACAAATAATATATAGAATAAATATTCTAAATAGCACAAAATCACCTTGGTGACCACATAATCGTTTTGTATTACCTATTTTTGTAAGCCATTTCACACAATTCACAAAAACAAAAATGTGCATGAACAATAAGGCCTGTATTTATTATATCATATATATTATAGCCTATGTATTATAGCCTGTATCTATTATATTATGAATGAAATGTGTGTTATTTGGAAGAAAGTCGAGGTGTGACAGACTTACAGTGGATCCCCCCCCTTTGTCCGCTCTTCCCATCTGCAGCTGGCCTCATTAACAAGGCCCGGTACCCCCTTTGACACTGACTCTTATACCCACCTTGTATATATACAGTATGCATTACATTAATGCACCCCCCGTCTTCTGCACAGTTTTCTTTTCTTATCTTTATCTATTTATATTTTGAAAGTACTTTATTTATCTGTATGATTTTGCAAATGTTGCACAAAAAAAAAAACAAACATTAAAAAGTCATATACCTTTTTGAAAAGGAATAAGCTGATGAAGCTGACAAGTGACCAATGTTTACAGTTTAAAACAGTTTTGAATGTTACTGTGTTAAGTCTATAAAAACGCACATCCCAGTGAATCATTTGTTATTTTTTCTCTGAATCACACAGACTGAGCAGTCTTGTTTAAGTGTTACACACTGAGTTAATAAACTGAACTTGGAAATAGTTTTAAGTAGTTGCAGATGTTATCTCAGCTCATTTTATTAATCTATTTTGATAATCAGGTGATTGCATGCAGAATGCTGGTGCCAGCAACTCATACAGTGGTTTGTACAAATAAATATTATCAGGTTCTCAATAGTATTAAAATTCAGTTCCCTTTGTTTTTTGTGGGGGGGGGGGGAACTGTCCCTCCCCCTCACACAGCTTCTGTGTACGACACCTTCTCAGCAAGCAGGGGCGCTTGCAGCTGTAGGGGGCGCCAATTGGCCAATTCCCCACACAGTCACATGATAGAACAGATAGATCATAGAAAAGACAATAGCAGAGGATTCTTTGAAGTGCTGTCCTCCCATGTGTCATAACAAAAATGCTGATCATGCCCAAAGCCGCCACTTATGCCGGTATGAAAATGCGCCTGGAAGAGATCGGGGAATCCCTTTATCAAGTGGCCCGGGTGTGGCTGTGTGGAGATCGACACATGATATCATAGAGTGCGGTTGGATGGTGAGACGCTACGGTCTGTGGTGTGACTGCAGTTACCGGTTTACATTGACTTGGACTCGAAGGTACGTGAAGAAAGGCAATACCAATGAAACCGCGTTCATTTCCTTTTTAACAATTAATTAAATATTTGTGGTTTCAAACAATTCAGTAAATAATTTGCGCCCTTCATGCCAAGCGCACCTTTTAGTTGTTTAGCAGTGCAACCTGCAAAAGGGTTAGGGGAAGGTAAATATAGATCATATGTGGTGATTATTAAATACTGTATCAAAATAAAGACATTGATTTGGTGAAACCATTTATGTGATTCTATGCTATGATCCCATTACGCTGTGTTTGAGTTAGTTCAACTCAAACCATTTGTGTGGAAGTAACTCAAATATTTGTTGTTAAGGTAACTTGACTAAATTATGTTAATTGTACTAATTCCATTCAGTCGATTGAATTTACACTCATATGCAGCATTTTTCCAAACTTATTTAAAATGTGTGAACAGAATTGACTTAACTAACTTAAATGCGACTTCTTCATACAAATGTAAACACCAAGTTCATACTCGTTTTTCTTCCACCAAATCAAATTATTACGTTACCTGTCAAAACAGCTTCCAACGCTAAAAATAATTTATAATTAATTGATTATCAAAATTTTAGCGAATTTACTTTCTTTTCTTTTATGTGACAAACAAACATTGACACTTTGGTCGATCATTTGGTCACTTGGCCCTTATAATTGATATATTGAAATAAGCTTTACAGCATTATAATGCTTACATTTCTGTAATGATATAAAGTCTACTTAAAGAAAATGAGTCAGTGGAACAAACTGGAATCAGGTCGTCAGTATTTAAAACACTGCACACGTTTAAGGGCAGTCAAAACAACCAATTTGCTTCAAAACATTTTGAGTTGGGAGTAGATAGATAGATAGATAGATAGATAGATAGATAGATAGATAGATAGATAGATGGATACTTTATTTATCCCGAGGGAAATTCAAGTATCCAGTAGCATACAAAATACAAAACATACATTAAACTAAAATTAAAATCCCTAACCTTAAGAATAGAATTAAAAATAAAATAGAAGATAAAATATAAAGTATACATAAAAAATACATTAGACTAAAATTAAAATCCCTAACCTTAAGAATAGAATTAAAAATAAAATAGAAGATAAAATATAACGTATTATATATATAGATATATATATATAATATATATAAAATTAACAGTAGCTACAATAAACGGTGCAGACATTAAACAGTGCAAATGGAAGTAAAATAGTGCAAATGGATGTGCAAAATACAGATAGAAATTGTCCATTGTCTATTATCTATTGTCCTCCCTGCCTTTACTGAGAGCTGTTGTACAGTCTGATGGCCAGGGGGACGAAAGAGTTTTTGAGTCTGTTGTTGGAGCTGGACTGGGAGTGACTCCAAAGTGTTTGCAGCCTTTGTAATTAATCATAATTTATGTTAACTTACTTATTTTTATTAGGATGTGTTGTCAAGTGCTCCAGATATTCAAACTTTCATTCACCTTGATTGTCTACAACATTGTGTGCTCAGCTCATAGCAAACCTCGACGCATATCAGTCGATCACATCCCAAAATAACCACACACGGGTCACTGACATGTTCTGGTTTTTCTTTTTCCTTTTAGAAACTGTCCTGTTGCTGCACGTACACCATGCAGCTCTTTACTTCAGTGTTTCTGTCATCTTTATAGTGCAGCTCCATGATGCCTTCAGGGGAACGACGTCCGAGTATCATCTATAATTTAACCAATATGGTGTAAACTCATTACATTAGACAGTAGCACTTATTTGTCTCGTGAACAGTGAAAGACATATCACCGTGGTTACATATTTAGGATTGGGACTTCAATTAACTAATTAATTTCAAGTGACTTTATTGGCATGACTGCAAACAATTCAACGTTGTCAGCGTGCAGGGCGTATTGAAACAAACTATGCATAATAAACATAAACTTTTTTCTGAAGCAATATTCCAAAACAGACACCTGCCACCTGACCTGAGCAACCTGAGTAGCCGAATGTGTTCGGGCTAGTTGATACATCGTCTCCGGATGCACTGATATCCAGAGAAACAGCTTGCACAATCAATGCGCCTACAAGGTTGCAAAGTTGTACATGGTGAGAGAGTGCCATTGAGCTGAATTAACAGTGGACAACAGCAGCTTTTCTAACTCACTGAAGCCATCGTGCGGTAGATGTAGATTCCTGCATCCAAAGCTGTAGATTACAAAAGATTACAAGATCCTGTTTTGGGTCCCAAAGTTGCAGAGAGTGTGCAGAGAGTCCGGTATGACTGCCCTGACTGGTTCTCTATGTCCTGTTTATCATTTCCTTATGAAACTTATTCAGTTAGGTGAACCCACGATGCTCTGCTACAACATTATAAATAAGGCTTGGTGCTGTACATTGTCTCCCTCACATGTGTGATGAACTTTGACCTCATTTGTTTATGACTCTTCCCCCACTGTCTCCTCTCACAGGCAGAAGATGATCTGCAGCATCCTGCTGCTCATCAACCTGACCTCCTGTTTCTGTGGTTAGTTTACACCTTCACTTTATTACCCATCAAGATAATTGAATGATAATTGCACTTGGGAAGGTGCTCTAGATTCAGTTTTTGCTTAGACTGTATAATTCTTGGTATCTTGCACCTTTTGTATACTGTTGTATCTTTTAGGACTTAACTTTGTTTATAAGAGCACGCTGTTAGTCAGGTACAATGAGAATTTGAATTTGGCTTGATGAGAAATACCAGCCTCTGATAGAACAGAGATCATCACAGGACACTAAACTCTCCACAAGAACATCTCTAGATGGAGTTTAAAGGCTCACATGGTAAAGTCTGTCTGGTCCTCACTTTCCCTCTCTGTCTCCTCAACAGGAACATTTGTAGTGAATGTGACACAGACCTCCTATCAGGCAGAGGAGAACGATAACATCACACTGGAATGGACGTTCACAACCAACACTGACAGTTCCCTCAACTCTCTTTATATCTACTGTAAACTGTTTACTGATCACAAGGTTTCAGTCCTGTTTCATCTACATGAAGGTGTCGAGGTCTCAGAGTCTCAGGATGCACAGTTTGCAGGACGAGTCCACTGCGACACAGACGTCCTCAGAGAAGGACGAATCAGACTTCATGTGTCCAGACTCAGGACTGAAGACTCGGGCCTGTACCTGTGTAAAGTGCTCACAAAGTATGGTGTCAGTGCTGTCAAAAGTCAGCTCAGTGTCACTGGTAAGTTGGTTCAGTAGAACTCAGTAGGATAACACGACTAAGAGTCTTAAGGGTTTTATCATTATATGACGTGCCTCAAGTGCTGCCCCTGGCACAGACAGGAAGCAGTCTGGAAAGTGGAGGATATCAGGCGGCAGCAGCAGGAGGAGGTGACGGAAAGGAGCAGTCAAGTTGGACCCGAATCTAACCAGCATGCGTTGTGCTTCGCCGGTGACCGATTCTGCGCAGGCCTGGCTCATCTCGAACAAGCCTAATCTCCCGGAGCTGTTCAGGCTTGTGGTAACAGCAGATCTGCACTGATGACAAACTCTCCTTTGCTATTACCACCCAATGCTGTAGTCTTAGTTTAACATGATTAACACAACACAAATTATAGCTGACTTACATACACCAAAGTATCGGACAAAATAATATTTTGACGTGATGATGGCACAAAAAGAAAAGTCGGAGGTTCACCAAAGTGAGAATTCATCCTGATGAGGACGTGAATGTCTGTCCTAAATTTCATGTCAGTCCATCTAACATTTCATTCAAAACCACAAATGTTAACCACATGGTGGCGCCAGAGGAACAGGAAGGGACAGACCAAAATCAGTGGGATTCATCTTCTGGGCACCTTGGATTCTGTACAGATCTGGATCATTATAATAGTTGTTGAGATATCTCAGTCTGGACATAGAGCCATGCTGCTAGTGTGACTATTGTCTATTGTGACTACTGTCCATCATTTTTTAATAAACTAGAATGATAATTAATCAACATAAATAGAACTGACTTTGTTTAAGGAATTACTGCCACATCAACCCTTCTTGACCGGACTTTCTTTTTTACTGAAAGAAATGCCAACGTTATCAAGCGTTGTGTTACTGCAGATTTTTTCTCCCTGTAAATCAGCTGTGGTTATTGGGTGTTCTATTTCAGACAATCATCCACATTTTTCTGTCACTTACAGCAGCTGCTGATAAGCCCAAACCTCAGAGAGCAACAGTGAGACCACAACCAGAGAGTCCACAACCAGAGAGACCAGAGACTCGGGGAAGGATCGGCCTCTACTTTGCACTGGGACTGACCGCAGCAGCTCTCCTGGCTGTGCCATACTCTAAACTCTTTGCCTTCAGTCTTCTTTTTAAAAAAATCTACTGATTATACAGATGTGTTACTTTGTGTTGTTGTTTTTAAACATAAAACATTCATTATGATCATATTCATTATTGATTAAGTTGCTATGGCAGCAGCTGTGTGTGTAGATGCAGTTGGCGTACCTTTTAATGAACTTTTTTAATTGTATTTTTGTACTTTACTGCTGAATAAACATGTCTATGACAGAAATTAATTATTTTCCGAGAACTATTTCCTGGTCGCTGATTCTTCATTTTAATTTTGGTTAAATTACTTAGTGAATGTGGTTTGTCCTTGTTTGACTTGAAAGTTTGAAATTTTTTGTTTTACTGTGAAGTAAAAAGTTACTGTGTGAAGAACACAACAGGAACAGTCCCACATATTTCCTCTCAACAGTGTCTTTTTTTGTGGAGGGAATATACACAGGTGGTAACGTTCAGTCTGCATGGTTTTTTTTCCTCCTTCCACGCACACCAGAGGGAGGCTCAACATGTCAATCAAAGTTAAACACGAGCTTTTTGATAAAATGTCTGCAGAGCATTCATACAGATACACGATTAAGTAGCACAATGAAGGTCTACACATTGGAATTTGAAATGTACTCCCAAAAAGTGACATTTGATTTAAAAATGCAAGTCATTTTGTTGTATAAGTTTCTCAAATACTTCAACTGACTAATCGCCCCATGACCTTTGGAACTGGAGGAGGAAACCAAATATTTTCCACCAGCTCTGGATAACACATATCTGTTCTATAAAACAACAAATTAAGTTGTTTTGACACCTCTTAGTCATTCTCACCTACCTTTGGTTTCCACAGAGTGCTTCCCCGATTCTATATTACTACATATTTCTACTATAATTAGAAAACACATTGTGAAGTTATAATGGCAACATGCTGACAGGTGATGATGTAGAGAGCCACGTTGCTAGAAAAAGGCCTGAGAGGTTTTATTTAGATATAAGAACTGTATTGGTCACCCGCTTACATTCAGCCCAAATAAAGTAATGTAATACAGCCCTAGGTGGACCAGATATAGTAACCACTTGACACAGCATATCTCAGCCAATCTGTCTCTCTGTCTCCTCTCTTGACCAGATGAGCTACAAGGGCGCCCCTGACAAATAGTTAAATGAGGAAGCAAACAACAGTGCTGAAACTTGTCTGATCTAACATAGGGCCAGAATAGAGTACAGACGGCTGACATACGGCTCTGTCCATAACTCACTGCTGTATTTGGGCTGAATGTATGGACACAGATAGTCACAGCGCACATGATGTAAACACAATGTATTCATTCATCCATGTGGTTTATTTGGGAACTGCCATAAACAGTGCCACTTAAAATGTGGCTATCATTAATCCAATTGAACTTTCAATAACATTTGAGAAAGTCTTCTTCTCAATAAATTAATATTTTTTCACAAAAATGTAAAGCACTTCATATGACGGGCAAATAAATTAGTAGCAAAGTAACATGATACATCCTCAAAACAACTGAAATGAACAGACACCTTAAACACAGCAGTGGCAAGAACATAACAGGTAGCTTTTAAGATCTATATAATCTAATACATGCAACCACTATGATGAAGATGCCCAGCACAACATCAGAAAGGAAAGAACATTGAAAAATAATGGTTAATCAAAGAAAAAGACCAGCTTTTGTTGGAACATTTCTAAATAAAAAACAAGAATAAAACTCTACTGGTTACTCTTTTAGAACGAGTTAGGTGCCCTGCTCAAAGGCACTTTGCCAGTTGCTGTTAAGAAAGTAGAGAACACTTTTTTATGTAAAAGTAAATTGGCTCTGATTTAAATTTGCAAAAAAAACCCTAAAAAAATCTGCAGGTGCATTCCGCAAAACTGAGAAATGAATGTGAAAATGTGTGTGGTAGCGACAGCTGGTTTGGGGTCAGTCACTGGAAAGAGCCAGTAATTCAAAACATTTTAAAAAGCTCTCATCCAGGGTGTCCTTTTCCATGTCGAAACCAAACGTGTTCAGGAAGGGGGAAAAAAATCCAGCATATGATGTTGCCATGTCCACAAGCTGCAGGCGAGCTGCAGATAAAGAGAAAGAGAGCAGATGGCTTTCGATTCTGTTGCTACACCACCTCAGTACATTTAAACTGCCTCATGACATAAATAACGTGGTGTGTATTTAGGTTGCAACCGCCCCAAAGTATTCAAATAACTTCCCCTGTAATGCAGAGTTATAAAAATAGAGATGAAATGCTGCTTTGCATCAAACAAAAACCCCACACAAGCAATTTGGAGATAGACGTCCGACTAGTCCACTCTATCAAAATGAAGCCAAAGTATCCCGGATACAGCTGCTGTCATCTTGCTCTGGAGACGCCATTTTGAGTCTGTGCAGCTGTAATCAGGCTTGGCTCAGCGGTATTGAAGTCCCGCTGTGAAAACCCTCTTTTTATTGCATCAAATAACCAAGATTGACGTGTACTTTGAGTTTTTTTTAGGTCAGGGCTAACTGGGGTCAATCAAGATGTTTTGGCTTCACTTTTGGGAGCAGTCCATTTTCAATAAAGTGCTTCAGTGCAAAATACCATAAATAGTTAATTAAAAGAAAGTTAAGATGCCTTCAAACTAAATACTCTCATCGCTCACTTTCATGACATGAAGTCAACATTTGTTCAAACGTTGGAACTCTCCAGATGTCACATGGTCAATGGTTAGGGTTCAAAACGGAGCAACTTACAGGATTTCCTGCTGGTAGTTTGTTTCACTCCACACATAAATCCTCTCTTCCGCAGATCCAGTGTCTCCAGCTGTGGCTGGAGGGGTCGCTGGTTTGAATCGTTGAACTAATTAGTAAGATCCGCCGGTAGTGCTCTCATCTCTGTTAGCAACGTCCAGCATTGTGCCCTTGAGCAAGGCACTATATACAGGCTATAGGTACCTTTATGAGCTGAAGGGACAAATAAAATAAAATGATTAATTAGTCAACTGTCTCCCAAAATAGACATTTCTTTTACTTTCCAGCACTGAATTAAAGTCTCTGACGTACTTCTTGTTTTTGACTTTTCTGTATCAAATATACCACGACTCCACCGACCATCAGGACCACTGCCAAGATGCAGACAAACACCAATGGGACCAGTCTGCTCCGCCTGGACCAACCACCTGATAGGAACAATCAAAACAGAGATGATGAGAGCTACTGAAATAAACACACAACATGAATGTCACTGACATTGAGATTAAAGTTATAATCCTTAAGATTTCAGTCCTGTTGACAAATACATTATGTTTCCTCTAGTGTTGTAACTAAACTTCCATACGTCTGTTTGTGGCACAGCAGCCTTCAGTGTTTAAAGGCTATTATTTGTAACATGTAACCAATCAGATGCTGTGGGCGGTACCCAAACTTTCGAGTTTAGTGATGCATAAAAGCTACCTTGTGTTTTACTAGTTGAACACTTGTAATGTGAAGCAGCTGCTGATAATTATGTAAAGCTGGAATTAATATTTATTTTCACCTTTAAAATCCGTCGGATCAGGAGTTTGGAGAATTGTGGGTTGCAGCGGCGTCTCTGTTGTCCCGGTTTTACCATAATCTGGCTCTGGAAGAACACACAGAATTGATTCATAATGACTTACAGACATACAGACAATAGTAGTTTGCATCAGGAACACAAGTTGCTGACAAACACTGATCGTATAATTTTCATAATATCATAAAAATTGATTTTCTCAACCTTAACAGATTAACTCACCAACAACAAGATGAACAATTGAAAACTTTATTCGGCTCTTTAACTTGGGGATGAAACATCTGTATCTCCCTTTGTCTTCAAGAGTCACATTCATGATCTTGAGTGATATGTTTCCTTGTCTCAAGCCGTCTGTGAACAGCTCTGTCCTCCTGACGTATGTAGAGAGCTTCATGTCTGTGTCCTCGCGGGTGTCCCTGTACAGGTGCACATACTCCACCCGGCTCAGCCTGTCTTTGGGGTCAGGCTGGATGTCTGGCCTCGACCACTCCACCGTCAGTCCCGCCACATTGACCTGAGGCACCACGTGACACGGCAGGATAACATCATCACCTGGAGCAGCAATGATTGGCTGAGGGGAACCGACCACCTGAGACTGACCTGAAAAATGGAGGATACATTTAAGATCTGTTGGAAAGCGAGGGAGGTCTGGAATCTGCTTTGCTGCATGTCTATGGTTAAACACCTCCAGTGTTCCACTATTAAGAAGTCCAGTGTTTCATTATAGGTACATTTTACATTCACAAGTGTAGATTTATTAAAGTTACTACAAGCTTTGTGCCATTTATAAATGACATTTTCTTTAAATCCTTGAGACAACTGGAAAAGAGAAGTGCCTCTCTGAACTACTTGCATTGTATCTTGATTAAACCCCCTTTAAATTAAATGTAGCAGCTGGAAGTGAGCCTGATACAGTAAAATCAAACTGACATCTGAAAGTACAAACAGGGACACAGGACGGAAACTAAACTAAACCACAGATTTAATTAGAAATTGAAAAAAGTACTGAGAGAGCTCCACTTCTCAAATATTAAAAATAGCCTGATGTCTCCATTGACACGTCAGACTATCTTAAACAAGTTATAACAGATACAGTGGATATATAAAGTCCACACTTCTCTGTTATAATGCCAGGTTATTGTGCTGTAAAAAAATGAGACAAAGATCAATCATGTTAGAACTTTTTCTACCTTTAATTTGACCAATTACATGAGTGTTGAAAAATAAACTTTTAGGGGGAAAAATAAAAAACGTACAATAACCCGGTTGCATAAGTGTGCACACCCTTAAACTAATACTTTGTTGAAGCTCCTTTTGATTTTATTACAGCACACAGTCTTTTTGGGTAGGAGCCTATTTGCATGGCCACAATTTGACTCGGAAATATTTGCCCACTCTCTTTGCATAAGTGCTTCAAATGTCCTGCGCACGGAAGTTCAGTACGATTCAGGTCTGGGCTTTAGCTGGGCCATTGCAAAAAAACATGCTTCTGTTGATTTGGATGCATGCTTTGGGTCGTTGTCGTGCTGAAAGGAGAAATTTATTTTTCATCTTCATCTTTCTAACCGAAGCCTGTAAATTATGGAGGACTGAAAGTGCCACAATTAAATAAATAAATACACCATTAAATAATTACTTAAATGTGTCATTAATTAATTCAAAAACCGATTCATTTAATGTAAATACATATATAATTATTTCACTATTTACATTTACATTTCATGGTCCTGCGTTGCAGTGCTTCATGAATTACTTAAAACTGTCAAACTCACGCATCAAAAGTTGGTAGGCGGATCCTAACGCCTGATTGGTTACCCTGCGCATTAAGCCAAGACAAATCAATTCCAGATAATGGATCGATGCAGAGCTAGTGAACACATTCCAATACACTGGGTGGCGCTATTGGACTACTTCTTATAAATCTGCAGTCCCTCTGTGGTCAATGTCTTGGTCAGAAAGTGCGGAAATAACTCCAAGAACTTCAATAAGTTCCTCTGCTTTACTCGCTACATGCTCTGGGTCAGCAGCTCCTGCTTCCACATCCTCTGCTAAGTCTAAAAAATAAAATAAAGTGTTTAACTTTGAAAAATAAAGTGTAGCAGCAGCTTGAGTGGTAACTGAGTTAGTAACTCAGTTACCACATTGTAAAAGTAATTAGTTACTCAGCAAAGTAACTGTGACGTTATTTTTTATCGTCTATAATTACATTCTATAACATCTTCTATAACGTTAAAGATGTTTATAATCACTGAATAAAGAATAAAACACTATATACAGTATTTTAGAACATTTGGTATTTATTTGAACTCAATAGATTGCAGCCGGCCATATGCATAGAAATAAAAATATATACAAAATAAATATTGAAAATAAAATTCACACGTTACATAAACATTCTTGCCTTTAACTTCAGTAAGCCAGTAGTAGTGTCGGTACTTCCAGTTTGATATCGCTACCTTTGAATTTCCCTAGCTCGTCGCCATTGTCTCTGTCTTGGCACCCGCCCACCCAGCCAATCATCATTGCATTTGCAACGGTGTCATCATCACCACCCTGCCCTCTCCCGGCAGCTGATGTGTGGCTTTCAGAAAGCCTGACACCGCTGCTGGTTAAGAAGAAGAAGCTCCCCATCAAAATTTAGAATCCTCAATAATTAATTGATTATAGGTCTGGGTCCGCATAGGACGGTGTCTGGGTCCAGACTCGCCTTCCAATTTTAATTAATTAATGACACATTTAAGTAATTATTTAATGGTGTATTTATTTATTTAATTGTGGCATTTTCAGTCCTCCATAGTAAATTGACTGTTTTGTTATCTCTCTGTCTGACTCTCTGTCTGACTCTCTGTCTCACTCTCTGTCTGACTCACTCTCAGTCTGTATTTACTTTAGTTATGCCCTTTATTTAACTTTTCTGCCACACAATCTACTTAATAAAATATAAAACCTTTGATTAGCCTGTGTCAAGAAGATACACTGAGCCTGGCTGCCCTTCCTCATCACTGTGCTAGTACAGTGCTATAGGCTCAGAGACTGCTTTGAGACAACAGACTGGGAAGCACTCTGTAGCCCCCCAATGGCAACGATATTGACAGTGGTGTTTGGCTGGTGAAAGCGACGATCACAGCGCCATAAGGACCAGTGCTGCTTTGTTATTTAATGTGTATTTCTTCTTTTCTTATCTGCTGTGTTACATCTAGAAATGCTGTAACAAGTGAATTTCTCCAGTGTGGGATCAATAAAGTCTATTTTATCTTCCTGACTACATATTAGTAGTATCAAAATGTTTACTGGAAAAGCACATGGATTATTCCCTCATCAATGATCATCCTCAGGTTGTTATTTCAGCCAATGAGGTAGGTTAGTGTTAGTATATAGGTCTAAAGAAATCAGTAAACTAAACATATCTCAGAGAATATTCACAGACAATATAACAACATCATATTAATATTAGAATCTATAGCTTATATATCAGAATTATTGCTGATATCTTTACTTGTTTAGGCTAAAATGTGTTAGATGATGATAAAGCTTTTGTTCAGTCAACAGATGCTACAACCAACAGTGGCATAGAGATATAGACAACATCCAGCTTTAATACTTCATGGTCGCTGAAAAGCAGCAAGGCTTCATGAGTAAAACATTTAACACAGTTTCCTTTGTCTATCGTTCAGGGTACAAAATAATCTGGAAAATATAATAATAGTAGAGTTTACCTTCAACAGGTGTGTAGGCGAAAAACAGCAACAAGATGGTGAGAGAGAGAGAAACACTGAGCTCCTCCAGGTCCATTTAAAGTCCTAACTGCACACACACTGTGTTCATATCCAGAGAGACATTACAGTGATGGTAGGAACAGCTGTTCAGAGTTTATTAACAAACCACCACGCCCATTTACACGACTCAACGTGGACGTGGAAGTATCGTCTAGCATTGCATGAAACATGGCTAACCTACTGAGTAGCACCTTCAGTACAACAAAGATAAAAATATTTGTGTTGTTCTGGATGATGCACACACACGAGGGCCCCCAGCAGACCCTGAGTGGCCCCTTGCTGGAGAATTGTACCATCTTATATGGACACTGATCTGTCGGAGGCGCACCGGGCTGTCCTCACCTGCAGACTGCACTCGAGGTATGGAGTTTTTTATTTTTTGATAATAAAAAATATTTTGCAGTGATCTTGTAGTGTCGGAAATAATAATAATAATACAACAGTAATATTACTCTGAAAGATACATGTGGCTCACAGCCACTGAGGGTTTCACTGGATCGATTACAGCTGCAGGAAGGAAACCAAAAACAATGCAGGGGAATCCCCCACAGTTTCATGGTTATTACCATGACACCATTAACACTACTATTGGACTTTTTACAGTAAAGTACAGTTATAATGTGTAATAGTGTGAGCATAACGCTTTGTTTGAGGCTATATGTGTGTTAGGATACAGTAAACAGACTCACCTGTGTCAGAGGGGTGAGGAGGATCAGGCTGGGAGAGAAGTGTGCGCTTTATTTTAGCTCCTGGCTGTGGCACCGGGGCGGGAGGCTGCTGTTCTGTCAGCCGTGTCAGGGGGTCCGGTCCTGGGTTTGGTGGGGAGGCTGCACACCTCATTTTAGGTAGCGAGGAACCGGCGTATACCTTTGGCTCTTACCGTCGTTACAATGCAACAGTACCGCACTCCTCCCCGGGTGTCTGTGGTCTGTGTGCGCTTCCTGCCTGGTTCAACGGAAGGCTCCATGCTCGCAGTGCAACGGGGTGTTTCTTGTCCCCAGACCGTGGGAAATAGACTGATTTCAGGGGTGCTGCGTGGGGCTTCTTGGGCTGTAACTTAAGAAGATAATACTATATTCCTGTGTTGTTTATCCTGCTGTGTTATTGATGAAAACAAAGTTTGACTAAATGTTAAAAGTTCGCATTTACTGGCGGTGTTGGGGATCCGTGGGCTGTTTATTATGTCAGAGACTGAAATGTACTATGTGTTAATGAATCAAAGTAAAACATGGACTAATCTGTCTCATGTGGTTCTCCATGTGTCCATGATCACAAGATGTTATTGTGAACTTAATTGTTTTTCTTCTCTTCTTGCCAAATGATACTGCCAGCTGAAAAGTCCCATGACATTATTTTTCAAGTGATTTCCCTCTCATTATTTGGCGTTCTCACTGTGACACGTGTTTGATTTGCTGACTCAGTGCTCATTACTTAATAATTACTTAACTTACTTAATCTATTTCATGGTTCCCCTGATGATCACAAGATCTCATTGTGATAAGATTGTAACTTAATTGTTTTTCCTCTCTTCTTGTCAAATCATACTGCAAGCAGAAAGAGCCATGCCATGGTGTTATCATTATTACACACTGACTCAGTGCTCATTACTTGTGTGCACATTAGTGTGGCAATAGGTCACCAATCGGTCATTCTTAATGCCTGAAATGTTCTCTTTAATGTCAGTAAGTGCTGTCAGATGATATATTCTTACCACTATTAAAAGGGTGATGCAGTCCTGTATAAAACATATATGAGCCCCCTCTGAGTGGCACAATTTGAGTATTTTCCAGCAGATGGGTGGTGCAGCAGCTAATGAAAACTGGAATACCCATAACTCATGGGTTAACTTGAGATTCTCCCGTAGGACGTTCCTCCAAATAAACAGCATGGTTTTCTATTTAGAAGCTTTTACTTGATGCTGACTTCAGGTTCAGATTCGTGGGTGATCTGTGAAGTTTTGGTTACATGTTATCTCACATTGTGCAACTGCAAAGGTTGTGAAGAGGCAGATGGTGTCAATGTGTGTGCTTACATTGCATTGGTTACTCTAGGCGGCAAGCACCCATTAGGCATTATTAATAGAAAATAAACTCAACAGAATCAATTCACAGCTTCTCATGCACTTTCTTCTTCTTTTCATTGCTTAACAGTTGAGGAGTTTTTCATTTCGTGAAATGCAGCTCCTTTTTTGTCCGAACTACAATTTATGATAGAAAATGTAGCTATGCAGAATGTTTGCTAAAAAAATTGTGTTTTACAGAATCTATATGTGTAGGTTATGTATGTTTACATCTATCCTCCAAATAAACAGCATGGTTTTCTATTTAAAAGTAGATAATACAATTCCTAAACACTAGTTTTGGTATAACATCGCATTATCAAATTATATAAAGAAATACATTTGTTTGAGGCCTTTTATTGCCTTTAATGGATCGTGACAGCGGAGAGGGGAGGACACGCAGCAAAGGGCCACAGGTCGGAGTCGACCCCCACAACCGCTGTAGGAAGGACTCAGTCTTGTGTACATGGGGCGCCAAATAAAAGCAACGTGGTTTATGTACTTTCCAATTCTTCATAATAATACGTTTAACTGACAGAAAAGCTAAGCAATGATATGATGCATGAGTGTTGACTTAATATTTTTACAACATTTGTGCCTTAGAGACAAACTAACTTTATTGATATTGAGGTATTTTTACATCCAGAATCGATCGAGGAAAGTCTTAAAATGACCTTCCTCCAAAAGCTGCAAAGCCACAATCAACGCCAGCACAAATGGGAAAGGTCCATTTACCATTAACCTGCATGCTGTTGATGTGGGCCCTGTGCACCACTTTCATTTGCAGGAGACGATTAAAAAATTCCTATACACCTTCTTGTGTTTACACATTATAGGTCATCAGATTGAAGAAAGTAAAACATTTCTCATTTGTGGTTTTAAAAATGCAACACTTACACACATCCTGCACAAACAAGGTGACAGACAGTCAGCTCAGGGGCGTGATGCGCCCCTCACTGTCACTGTCAGTGTTAGTATCAGTCGATCAACGACCAGGCATGGAGCTCATGACACTGTGCACTATTGTCGGTGAGTACTAAAGCGTTCTAGTATTTTACTGTTTATTTATCAAACATTTACTGTAGAATAGAATTTACAATAGTTATTTTGCTGCTATGAATCAATAAATAGTTCTACTAAATAATGTCTGTACATGTTACTATATTTTCTTTGTCTCGTTGAAGTTATTGTCTGTGACGTCCGGAGGTTTTTATTTTGTTGTGAATTGAGTTGAAGCAAATACTAATTAATTACAGTCGTGTTACCGTGAGAGTAGGAAGACAACAAAACCGTAAACAGTCCAACACAAAACCCTCCGCTCCCCTTCACGACCAGATATTCTCTGCATGTTGTTCGCCTCAGCACGAACGAGATACAGCATTTCTTTTAAAACTGTCCATGTTACTTGACGCTGACTTCAGATTCAGATTCGTGGGTGATTTGTGAAGTTTTGGTTACATGTTATCTCACAATGTGCAACTGCAAAGGTTGTGAAGAGGCAGATGGTGTCAATGTGTGGGCTTACATTGCATTGGTTACTCTAGGCGGCAAGCACCCATTTGGCATTATTAATAGAAAATAAACTCAACAGAATCAATTCACAGCTTCTCATACACCAGAAAGATGGATCCAACCATTGTCAAAAAATTGTCGAATCATTCTTTTGCCCAGAAGTTCCAGAGAACTGGAAACCTTTGAGCTGCTTTCATTATTCGAATCATATCCGTAGTGAAACAAGGAAGCAACGAAATGCAATGAAGGTTGCATATTGGTTTGAGTGGTTGTTCACCTCTGCAAGTATTCACAGGACTTTGTTTTCCGCATTGTGAACACATTTACAATGAAAATCTCAATTTGTCATCCTCTCTCTTCTTCTTGCAGCCTCTTTAAGAGTCTTTCCCAGCAGAACCCAGTTCTTTCAATATGAGTCGATTAGACTGAGCTGTGGGGATGCCTCTGAATGGCGGGTTAAGAGAAACACATCCACAAACATGAACGCAGAGTGTTCCACAACGTGGGGCAAAAGAAACGAGTCACTGTGCCTTCTTGCTGACCCTTACCCAGTAGACACTGGAGTGTACTGGTGTGAGTCTGGAGCTGGAGAGTGCAGCAGTGCCGTCAACATCACTGTAACCGGTGGGTTTCACCAAACTACCAACTGCAGCCATTAACTGTCTCACTAGAAGGTGTTTTAGGAAAAAACAAGACTCTATAGGGGAAATTCCATGGCAATCGACCACATGTTTTACTTAAAACCACAAATATCAAGCTCACAGTGGCACGAGAGGAAAATTCGAGGCATCACCTGGGCACTATGAATGTCTGTACCAAATTTCATGGCAATCCTGCATTAATGTGGTCCCGGTGAAGGACCTCCTGCCATTGTGCGGACATTGATGGTAGTCTCTTTGTATCAAAGGTGGTCGTAGTAAAGGAATAGTCGGACCTACATAAGTAGCTGGAGCCGTTAAGCAGGTAGAAAGCAGTCTTGGCTTGTTGGCAACCAGCAAAGACTCCAGGAAGGTATTAGACTTTAAGGCTTTTTGAGCTCTAAAATATTTTCTGGTCTTTCTGCCGTTGTGTCACACAGGTGGCTCTGTCATCCTGGAGAGTCCCGTCCTTCCTGTGCCTGAGGGAGAAAATGTGACTCTGCGCTGCACCAACAAGATGACATTCTCCTCCAATATCACAGCTGAATTTTATAAAAATGGCCTCCTCATTGGGAACAGCTCTTCGGGAAATTTGAGCATCCTCAGTGTTTTAAAGTCCGATGAAGGTCTCTACAAGTGTAGCATCTCTGGAGCTCAATCACCAGACAGCTGGCTGGCTGTCAGAGGTGAGATGATCTTCAGCCACGCTGTTATAGTCTTGTCTGCAGGGTGTTATTTAGTTTCATGTGTTAATGGCATCTTTCCTGGATAGACACATATTTTCAAAAAGGTCAAAGAATGAAAGAGATGATTTTCTGAACATTAGGAGTTAGATAAATGTAATCTCTGTGTGTTTGGAGAGATCTGTCCAGGATGCTTTTAGCCTAGCTTAGCACAAAGCCTGCAGCATATAGACAGAGCTGTTGTTGTGTTTGCATTGAGGTCAAACTGTGGCTTTTTTTCCCCTCATCTGTTGTGTTAAAGCTGGGCGTCCTGAATCTTTTCATTCCCCCCTTGCACACATTCTGCTTCCTGTGGTGGGCGTCTGCCTCTTGCTAGTCGTGGTGATTCTGCTGCTTCTCTGGAGGAGTCGCAAAGGTCAGCCTGTTTTCATATATGTAAAAGGATTTTTGCTGAAGTTTCAGGATTACTTCTGCAAACTAGAAGAGTCACACAAAACACCTATTTCAAGCAGATTGTGGTTCTTTTTAAACAGTAGCACGCAAGACAACATCAGGAATGATACATTTTAATGGTGATGTTGCATTTTTCTTATTGACAACAAATCCCCTTGAAAACACCAAACCACTATATTTACCCCACCACTGTGTATCCAACGCCTGATATATCTTCCCCCTCTGTGCCAAAGAGCATCAATGTGTCACACTTGCACTGGGTGACCTGTTCATTACCACACACACAGTAAACACACACACACACTGTAGTTTATTTTGACTCATTATTTGTCCCACACACACACTGTCCTGCTGCTGTAAATACTCACTAGAGCACCAGACGTGTATTACTCCCCAGCGGAAAACAGTCCCCAACAAATGCACAATTTACTCCAGTTGGAGTAACATCTGCTAAAAACTACAGTGACAGCTGTTTAAGGAAATTATTAAGCCCTTTTTAAAAATGAAACAACTGACAAAGTGGCCCTTTATGTGGGAAAAAGGTTTAAAACTGGACACATCAGAATAACGAGCTGAATAGTGTCTTTGAATACACAGCAGCATGGACAGAGACTAAGAAAGAAAATATGAAGAAAACAACAGCACGTCTTTTATTAGAACTTTATGACGCATTTTAAATAACTGAAATGCAGTTAAGGAATTGTTTCTAAAAATGAATGAATCTCACTTCAAACAAAAAGATCAAAAACAAACAATCTGGGAGTGTCACTTCTTACTTAAGAAACAAACATACTTTTTCTTTTATGTTCAGCAAATCAACCAAAGTCTTTGTGTTTATCAATGAGAGGTGGAATCTTTTTAGTTTTTGGTGTCACGCGAACTTCTCTGTAGTGCCTACGTTAACTAAAGTACAGGTTTGGTTGATAAAATCAATACATTGTTAGTTAAATTATTTAAATATTCTTTCAGAAAACTGGAATTAAAGTCGGTGAGCGTTGGACCTTTTAATATTGCAATACATGATACATACATGAAGATTACGATTGAAACGTTATCGTTGTTAAATGTTTTGCAGGTGTTTTACAGGCCTCCTGAGATCTGAACTCCCTGAAAGTGCAAATTAAGTGAAATAAGACAAAACCACTAACAAATATGGAGTTAAAGAATAATTTTAGACTGCAACACTATTAGTTTTTATAGAAATAAACACTACCTCTGACTATATGACTGTGAAGATGAAGATAAAGATAATGGCTTCAAGTACTTTTTGAAAACACAACCAGAAAATTAAAAAAATAAAATTGTGGGACGTGCAAAAGTTTGGGCTACCTATGTCAAACCTTGCAAAACGCTTCTAGTTCTGCAATATTTTCTGGCCGTCTTGCATGCACAGCCCTTTTAAGATCTACCCACAGATTTTCAATTATATTTAAGTCAGGGGGTCGTCTATTGAGGTAGTCCATGGTGGATTTTGAGGGATGTTTAGGATCATTATCCTGTTGTAGAAGCTTTCCTCTTTCCAGATTTAGCTTTTTTAACACAGTGTAATGTTTGCATCTAGAATTTGCTGGTATTTACTTGTGTACCTACTTTACGTGTGCAATGTTTCCTGTGCCACTGGCTGCAACAAAACCCCAAAGCATGATAGAGCCACCCCCGTGCTTAACAGTTGAGGAGGTTTTCGTTTTTTTCTCCCAACATGGTAAATGGTAAATGGACCTGTACTTGTATAGGGCCTTTCTAGTCTTCCAACCACTCAAAGCGCTTTTACACTACGTGCCACATTCACCCTTTCACACACATTCACTCAGTGACGGCAAAGTCCATCGAAGAGAAACTAACACTCATACACATTCACACACCAATGCACGGCATCGGGAGCAATTTGGGGTTCAGTATCTTGCTCAAGGATACTTCGACATGTGGCACCAGGAGCCAGAGATCGAACCCACAACCTTCCAATTAGGTGCTTTTTGCTTTTGTTCAATTTAAGATATAAAGTGTAACTATGCAGAATGTTTGCTGAAAAATATCCTTACCCATACCCCGGTTGGCTTTTCTGAATCCTTGGAATTTGCCTAAAAAAATATGAATTAAATTATATAAAGTGTTGTTCTGCAGGTAAAATCAACTCAGATGTGTCGTACACGGATGTCACCATCACTCAGGAAGTGCAACCAAATAGGGACAGAGGTAACACACACACACACACACACACACACACACACACACACACACACACACACACACAAACACACTGTTACAGACCACAGTCTAACATTAATTAGCAACGGTTGATATAATAAATGTAAAACAATATCAGGACACATATTCATATTATTCCACTGAGATATTGAACTACAGCTGAAATAGTAGGAACAGACATTTACAGTTTATAAAGCTACACCCGTTCTTCTTCTGTTAATCAGAAAGGTGTGAAGTTTACACAAGAACCTTTGTGCTGTATTATGTTTTAATATGTCAGCACATACTGTGAGTAACCACTTAGTTCCTCAAATTGTGTGGTTGTGTAATAACCCTCTTGGCCATGTGCAATTGTTTATGACTAGACTGAGAGGTATAGGCAGAAACTAAAGAAAAACCAGGGAATCTAATCTTGCTTTCAGTGGTACGGGATGAGTGAGATTATTGTTTAACTAGGAATACCCGTACTTTTTTTCTTTTTCGTTACAAAGTAAAAACGTCATCTTACAGTCCAGAAATTTCCGATCCCAACAATCAAAGCACTGTGTTTACTCAAGTAGTGTTGTGATTGATTGATTACATTTGAGGTACTTTGAGGTAGTTCCAGTTTATACTTTAACTCCACAACATATTACACTTACAACACTTCATATTTAACACTTTGCTTACTAGTTACATTGCAGAGTGAAATTATTGAAACAAAATATAATCAACAAATATTATAATGCATTAGTATAGATTAAACTATCCAGCACTACAGTAAAACTAGCCTCACCTATTGGTATATATTTACTTGTTTGAATACGAGTTTTACTTGTAACAGAATATTTCTCAACTGTGATATTGTGAGATTCTTCTTTCACCATTGAATGAGCGTATACTTTATTTCAAAGCCTTTTAGGAAAGATCAGTGAAACTAAGCATGTCACACTGAAAGAGAGACAACCTGTTGAGTCATGTTTTCTGTCACTGTAAGTCTACAAGATCAGAGAATGTAGAATGTCATAGTATTTCATAATATGTAATTTAGCTTTGGTAATAATGTCGGCTTAATGTTAATACCAACAAGAATTGGACTGATTTCATTTGACACAGAGAGAGTTTGTAGGCTTTGTTTCTAGTGAACACTGTCCACCACTTACAGTACTGTACCTCACTGTTTAATATATTGAATGTGTGTGTCTTCCTCAGAAATCGACGATACATCAACCTTCTACTCACTACTCAAACCAGGAGCCACCAGAGAGGAAGCAACAGAGCCAGTGCTGAAATCTATCTGATAATATAACTTAAATATCTCTTTGTTGAAAAGTGGATTACAGTTTTTTTGGGACCTTGCTGAAAATGATTGAGCATTTCTTTAACTTTAGTTTTATTTGTCCGCTCTGTCTCTCAGGTTTTGTCTTTTATTTTTTAGCATTTGCATTTAATAAAATGAAACTGCTCCACTTAACCAACAGGGATTTCACAGAAGTTTTTGTTGCTGCAATATGGACACAGATAAACAAATACATAATTACACACAAACACGTGTTTAAATCCCCTGATAAAAACAACAAAACTGAGAGCTTTTGTTTCAGTTGCTGTTGGAAATTTGTGAAAATAATGTGAGCTGAAGACTGAAGCATAACATAACAATCTGAACCCACAGGGAGTTTCTGAGTTTGTCCCAACAGAAAATTACCTGAAACTGAAGCTGTGATGTGTTCAGCTGGTCAATAAGTTAACAACATACCAGTGTGGGTGTATAGTTTCAGAGTAATCCAACTAGTTCGCTGGTAGTAGAAACACATCTATTGTTAGTCTCACACTGTAAATAACCTATTTGAACTGCCACTTCCTCATTCCTTCTGCTAATGATTAACTCCACTACAGGAATGCATCAACACATACCTTTTAGCTCAGGGGAAACCTCGTCAAAACTGAACTTTAATACCTGATCAGGAGAACCTCCTAGGCACTGATTTTGATGACATTTTCGGACAGTTAGATTACAAATAATCATTGTTTCAACTGCATTTACATCAGTGTGTTTCACTGTGTAGTTAGGAGCTGCTTCACATTCACATAGTTATTGAAATGCTACTGAAACAACAGAAAGATTTAAAGGAAAAGTTTTACATTTTAGGAAAATTTTCTTACCAGTTACAGTTAGATGATCAGAATGAGAAGTGCAAACAAACTTCTCATCTAACTTCCAGCAAATAATGATGTCTTAAAAGCTTTGGTTTTTCCCTGTTCTACATTCCTGGTAGATAATTAGTAAAGAGTCTATAGCATCCTTGTTGCTCAGTTCTTTCCATTGCATGGTTTGTTCATTCCCCTCATCAGGAAGAACCTCTCAGTTAGCCTGTACATGGAAACACCTCGCCTTCAAAAACCCCTGACTAATCTTCCTGTTAGGCTCCAGGGACGATAGACTTACACTTTCCTGACATCAACATCAAGGAAATAATAGTAGCATCCTTGTAGAGACTCCAAGCATGGATTGTTTCCCTAATTAGGGAGAGTTTTTTTAATCCCACCTGTCAGCCAGCTGGTTTGTTTGCTGTAGTTTGGGGAAGTAACAGATGCTCTCAAGGGTGTCCAGTTTCCTCCTATGGTCTGAAAACAAGCTGACGATACATGTGACTGTGACTTTACATCATGTGCAAAGTGTTGTGGCATCACACAAAGCAGCAGCTTGTTAGTATTTTACCATACAATTAACATACACATGTTCTATTATTATTATTGTGCAGATAGCAAACGTGCAAGTAATCATTAACAAATAAGACTAAAACATTATAATTAACAACAGTAGTAATACTAAATAGGCTAATCAGTTATGGTAAACAGTAAGATTTTGACTTATGTCATAAGTGACTGACACAGCTTAAAGGACCAGTGTGTAAGATTTAGTGGCATCAATGATGAAGCTGAAGATTGCAATCATTTAAATATATAGCTCAGCCTTCCAAGCATGAAGGAGAAACGGTAAGGGTTGTGAGACCTCGACAAAAAAGGCATAAAAGCCCTGTGTAGAGCCAGCGTTTGGTTTGTCTGTTCGGGGCTACTGTAGAAACATGGAGGTTTAACATGACGCCCTCCATGGAAGAGGACCCGCTCCCACTGTAAATAAAAATGGCTCATTCTAAGGTTTCTGGTGCGTATTCACTGATGAAAACATACAGATATATTCCATCGTGCCAATACATCCTCCTAAATGTTACACACTGGACCTTTAAGACTGACGCCTGGTAACCTTCATCTTCGTGTCTCTTCCCCGCAGCTCTCGTTTGCATCCTTTTGCATACTTTGTGAGAAGTTAGCATAAAGGCAGCAGGATATATGTTCTCTAGGTCCTTTCCTCTGAAACATCACAAAAGATATTTATTCAGTATTTGCATCCGAGACCAAGAGTGGGTGGAGAGATCCAACAGGTGTGTATTATATTCAGTGTTGGGCTAGTTACTCTAAATATTTAATTTATTACTCATTACTCTTTTTTAAAAGGAATATCCTCTCTTTACGTATTACTCCCTGCCATCAGTAATTAGTTAAACTAGTTTATATTTAAAATCCAATTAAATTTAAATAGATTCAAGTCAGTTTTATGTGTTCAAATCAAAGTAATGGGATATTTCCAGCCCTTAAATATAAGTATCTCCAGCTTTCAAGCTAATTTCCTCCATAATTACAAAAATGGATCCAATCAATAGGGGGTTTCAACAAAAGTACAGTTTCAGCTAATTACTTTTAGTTTTTTATTTGAGGTAACTGTAATATTAGTACTGAAATGTATTAGCAATTAGTTACAGTACTGGGAAAAATAATATTAGGGATTAAATGGAATGGAAAAATTGATTAAATGCGGGTAAGAATAAAAACAGATCTTTGTTGTTATGTCTGACAGTGTGTCAACAGGCTATTTTTAACATTGACAGATCAATATCAAGCCTTATCAGCCACTCCTGAAGAAACAAGGAAACAATGACGACCATAATGGTATCGGGTGATTGATTGGGCTATTTTTAGCGTGTTTTTTTTAGCAGCTCATTTAATGGTCGGCCTCCAAAGAATGAGAGCCGCCCAGCAACACACACACACACAAACACAAACACACAAACACACACACACACAGTGAGAAAACAGCTGTAGAGCCAGAATAATTACACATCTGACTGCAGTGAATTAAGGGTTTATTTCGACTAGTTTGACGGCAGGAAATGCAGTAACAAGATGATTCACAGAGGCTCCAGCCCAGGACTGTTACCCCGGGGCAGATGAGGACACTGTGGGGACAGGAGAGGGACAGGAGAGGCCTCGGTTGGACACCAGTGTTGGTGACAGTGACTGATACAGATGGTTTGATTTTGTTTCTGTTGAGTTTGAATGGAGGGTGTTTCAAGGTGAGTTAACAAGGCAGTTACGCTGAAAATTGAATTGTGTTTTTATATTTTATATTTTCCTTTCTTGACATTTGTTGAGTTTATTATTTATTAAAGCTGCTGCTGGTTCTGTGGACAGCACACATAGTTGGTAATTTATTCTGTCTAATAAACTACAGTTAATTTAAAATTCATGTTTCATCATGTTGCACTTCTAACTGTGGGTGTGTGTGTGTGTGTATGTGTGTGTGTGTGTGTGTGTGTGTGTGTGTGTGTTTAACCACAGGAAGAGGGTCGGTTCCGGTACTGTTCTCTGGGGGTTGTGGTGGTTCCTGTGGTGCAGGTTTTTCTGAGACTTGTTATATTGATTTTTTTGAGCCGATCAACTGGTGGGTTAGTAATGATGTAATGCCGTTGAGATTCTGATAGTAGGTGGACTAACAGTGGAGGACTCTATCTATCTATCTATCTATCTATCTATCTATCTATCTATCTATCTATCTATCTATCTATCTATCTATCTATCTATCTATCTATCTATCTATCTACCTCCATAAGGTAAGTGCTATAAAACAAAAGTGACTGACATGTAAGAAAATATAAAAAGATATATATATATAATAAAATATGTGCTCCAATTGTCTGATTCATTTGTTATGTTATGTGTATTTCGCTGCATCTACACACACAACTGTAGCCATAGCAACTTAATCAATAATGAATATGATCATAATTAATGTTTTATGTTTAAAAACAACTAAAGAAAGCAACACAGTACTTAAAAGAGTAAAAATATACTATATAGTATACTTGTATACATTGTATACGGTTAAAACATCGTAATCAGATGTGAGTCCCCCCTCTCTCTCTCTCATCCTGCTGAGAGGGGTGGAAAGGTCAGAGGTCAACAGGGTGGACGGATGCAGTGACAGAGAAGCAGAAAAGCTTGCTGTCTGACAAAATGAACTGTTATGCCATTAAACAGACGTTTACTTTATCAGTAGATGTAGTGAAACAAAGACTGAAGGCAAAGCAGAGTTTAGCACAGACAGCCAGTAGAGGCGCTGCTGCTGTCAGTCCCAGTCCAGCATAGAAGCCGAACCTTCCCCGAGTCTCTGGTTGTGGACTAACTGGTTGTGGACCCTCTGGTTGTGGACTCTCTGTTGGTCTTTTAGGTTTGGTCTTATCAGCAGCTGCTGTAAGGGACATAAAGGGACGAAAGCATTAATAGTCTGCAACTTTCATTTTTCAAGAAATAAACAGTATCTGGTTCCAGGTATTAAGACAGGTGAGTTTAAATAAAGTATCCACAAATGATTTTGAGCTAATGTCTTAGACATTTTCTAGCGTATGATCAGTTTTAGTGTGATAAAAGTAAACAGTTGGTCCTCACAGTTGAAAAGGTTCAACTGCTAAATGAGACAACTGCGCCACCTGCTGTTGTAAGTCTGTACCAGCATTTGGTAGAAATAGCAAAGGAATATTTGTCATCAATGCAGATCTGCTTTTAAGACAAGCCTGACCCCGGGGCTGTTCTACGAAGCGAGGTAACTGGCTTGTCCAGGTAACTCCAGGAGTAGCTCTATGATAACTTCCAGATTCCTACTATAAAAGGTGGTTCAGTTTTACCCGAGGTATGCTGTCACAGCAATTTATGTTCCATCTCTAAACTGCTCCAGGCAGGTGATCATTGTGGTTAACTCCATGTGTGGAGAAAAATGCTGCCACATTTGAAAGACGCAGTTGACATTGGTGCACAGATTGCACATGCATCATGTGATGCACCGTGGCGCCGGTGTGTTTTAGCCTTTAGACTCCAGCTGCGGTACAGTATACTATATACTTTATACTGAGTTCTACTGAAACAACTTACCAGTGACACTGAGCAGACATTTGCCAGCACTGACACCATACTTTGTGAGCACTTTACACAGGTACAGGCCTGAGTCTTCAGTCCTGAGTCTGGACACATGAAGTCTGATTCGTCCTTCTCGAGGACGTCTGTGTCAAGTGGACCGCCTGCAAACGTTCATCCTGAGACTCGAGACCTCGACACCTTCATGTAGATGATACAGGACTGAAA